GTGGACATGATGTTGAAATGTTTCCCATACCATATACTTTTTCTCACTTTGAAGTCTATGAAACAAAACCTTTTAGGCATGATGCCGTTTGAATTAGTTTTCATAATTTTTTTCTATAATTTGGCCTTTAGCAAACTAATGTGACAGTGCAAGGGTCTGTAAAACAAAGATCTTTTGTTCTTTTAGCGAACAATGATCTGCTTTGTCATAACCCAATAAAGCATTGAATTTAAAAGTAAGACTTGTATTGGTCTGTTAACCTCCTCTGATCACGTACTGAACTGCCTCCTTACGTATATTCCGTCAATCTCGTACTTTTCAGAAGCTTTGATCGCACGTAACAGCGCAGTTTCAAGTTCTTGTGCGTCAATCTATTTTAGCATCGTGTTTTAGGGTCAGCCGACAGTGATCTTGATCTCAAGTGGATGATATGACTATTTGATATCCACTTGTTTTTACATTTCCGGTCGTTCGTCACCGGAAACAAGGATTTTAAAAGTAGTAACATGAAATATCCCTTGTTTGAAAGCTGTGTCATTTTCAGACCGCAGAGCGTGGAAAGTTTATGTTCTCGCGAGATGTACTCGTGCGTTAACTCAGTCCATTTAGCGCGGGATGTCCCTGGGGATCAAGGTTGAATGTGTTTGAGAGAGAGACAAAGCGGCTCTTAACCAGGCCCTTTTCACAACGTAAATAAAGAACGATGGTTTTGCATTTGAGTTTTAAAACTTTAGATTTTTGTTTTTTTTTTTTTTTTTAAGAATAAGATATTTTTAAGTCATGAAATTTAATTTTGTTTTAATTTTTTTTTTTTTAATAAATACTTCGGTTCGTCCATCGTGAATTTTTTTTACATTTGATCCTCAAATAAACTGAAAATTTCAGGGGTAAACGTATCTCCCATTTTCCACTTTTTTTTTCTTTCCTAGTAGAAGTTTTAAAGTAAAAGATTATTTGAGCAGTGAGGTAGTTTCCAATCCCCACGGTCCTAATACGGAAACTGAAAGATTGCCACCTTTGAGAGTTTCGAAAGCTGACGTTTCGAGTGTAGAGCGATGGACTAACGCTGAGTCGGTAGAATCTCTTTACGGTGGCCAATTTACTTTATCAACTTAGTTGATAAAGCATAATCATCTTGAAATTCTCTCCCACCGATGCAGCACCACAGGCTTTAGAAACTTACCCCCTTTAAACTGAACGATAACATGTTTGTTGTTAAATTAGATACAGATAGTGCATTGCAATTGATTAAACTTGAAAAACATGATTCACTGTCGCAGTCTTCTTTCCCTACCACGTCCTCAGCCATAAGAGGAAGGTTTACAGTGGATTACATCAGCTATTCCTCATAACACGCTGTAATTGGTCAAGATATGAAACCCCCCCCGTTTTAAACCTCATTTGATGATGTAAAACTGAAGTTAATTGGGACTTGGACGCTCTCGTTATCCTGCGCCTCATACAATTAGCGCCCTTGAGTCCTCACAGTTTTTTTTACAATTCCTTTTGTTCTGATTGGGCATCGTGATGCCTTTGGTTTCTGGTGTAACAACACTACGTTCCCCAAAAGTCCAGGCTCAGCTCTCTGAAATCACATCCCTCTAATAACAGCAATTAGGGTAAACCCGCTAGCAAACTACGACAAATGCTGCAATCTGATTCGAGGGGGGAAGGGGATAGGTGGTAGGGGGTGTCAGAATAAAATTTACTTGATATTCCCCCCCTCCCCTCCCCTCCCCTCCTCCATGCCCCACTAAGGCTCTGGAGTATTCTTAAGGCCTATTTACACGGCACGACTTTGTCGCATGCGACAAGCTTACGACAGGCCTACGACATGACTTAAGAGTCGTAAGCGAGTTGTAGGTTTGATTTACACGAAACAATTCGTGTCGTAAGTCTGTCGTAAGCTTGTCGCATGCGACAAAGTCGTACCGTGTAAATAGGCCCTTATGGTCCCCTTCATTAGCAGTTCTGTACAGCGCCACCTTTATACTCTTCTTTAGCGATGTCTGTTCCCACTGAAAACCCATGTGATCCCCCCAAAACCTTCCGAACCCACCCCCCTCCCCTCCCAGGCGATAGAGAATTACCAGTCTCTAAAAATAAGTACTTTACAGACTTCACTGAAGTTAAACGGTGCTACGTCCAACCGTTTGTATTGCCGTAAGTGGACGCGCATTGGTTCCATGAATGGAATTGAAGTTATAATTTTCGGTTCCTGTGGTAAGCTATCAATAACCCTCACTCAATATCGCGATGCCGTGTCTAGAGACTAGAACCTCCTTCCTTAACTTTTTCCTTTTCCTTGCTGTCGGTATATAATAATCTAACGTCAATCAGTCACGTTTTGGTAAAGAAGTGGTTTATTTGATTTTAATATCGCTCGAGCTCCTGCATACCATTAGCTGTAAGTTGGTCGTTGGAAAAGTTCTTGCATAACGCTAATGAGCCCGTAAGCGAACCTCGTACTCTCCTTAATAAACAGGAGCGACCTATTCCGTCTACTCTCTTCCAGAGGTTGGTTTTAGACTTTCAGTGCTAACAAACCATCCATAACCATGGTTAGATGTTTGGCTAAAACGTTGGCGCTTAACTCATGGTAAATTTCCCGTGGAAAATTAGATGGTTTTGACATCATTACGCGCTTATTTAGGCGTGGGCGGATGAGATTGACAGATCTTGAACCTATTTCCGATTGAGTGCTAAAATATTAGCAACTTCTCGATCGTACGGTTCAATTTCCCCTTGTTATCGCCCACACCTATCAGTGTGGGTGGCGTATAATGCATTTGCGTCATTTGTTGAAAGCATCCGACTCGGAACATCTGGGGCGTTGGTGCGAAACTTATGGTTAACCATGAAAGTTTGTTCCTAGATTATCGTGTCACTTGCCGCCTACGGAAGCATGTGCGGCCTGACGCATGCATGCTTCATCACCCTTTTCCGGTGGTAAGCAACAATTAGAAATGAGAGAGTGACTTGAATATGAATTAGGTAATATTTTTGGTCATTAAAGGAATGACTTCTTGATTAGGAGAGCCAGAAATGGAAGGATTAAGGAGGCGACTTAGTCTTGCCCAAAGTCTGATTTCTCAGCCTATATTTTGAGCACGGCCCATTGGTTACTAAACACACAAAGAGATGTATTAGAGTAATTTTTCGCAAACCTCAGCAAACAACGTTTGTTTTCTCTAATTAGAAAAGAGCACCTTGGGGGTCTTATCATTTGAAAATGGAAAATGGCAGGGATAATGAGATTTGATGAAAGCGATTTAGGAACAAAACTGTTTCCTTTTTCAGGGCGTAGCTGATATGGAAAAGTATTATGTGGGCTTGGCGAACTCAATAGTGTACACACGCTACCTTGATAGCTTTATTTAAATTTTTTTTAATATTTGTTCAGAGATATAAATGAAATAATTGAGAAAAGCATCAATTTAGGCAGCTGGTGAGACGTTTGATAAGCAGAATCATAACAGACCGTTAATAAGACTGTTTACAAGAAAAATGAAGCGAATAAAGTTAGATAATTAGGAAAGTAATTAGCTTAATTTTATCAATTCTACTGAGTCCGCTGGAACTAACACCATCTTCTGCAGAAAAACAGTTGATGAAAGTCGTTTAACACTTAAGCGCCTGAGAGTGACTGGCTTCTAGTTTCTCCTTACAGTATCACCTTAAATAAAACATAAAGGTCTTGGGAATAAAGGAAATGATCACCAATTTAAGAAGCTCCTGTTGCTAAACAAATTCTCCATGTCATTTTATAGGACACGTAGAGGGAACAATGTGGAGAATTATAAAAATTAATTTTAGGGTGTGTAGGGTTTATATTCAAGTTAAGTTTCCCTTTCCAACACATTTGGTTATTAACTAATATTTTATGAGAAATAAATGGTAGTAAAAGATACTGCAAAAGACATCACATTGTTTCAACGATTAGCTACTTTCATCTAGATATTGACTTATTTTCGAACTCAACTCAGCAATTGAAACTTGGATTCAAACACTTTGTAAAGTAGCCTGGTAAAACTGTTCCCGTGTGTCGCAATAAGAAAGCTTTCAATAGCGATCTGAATATTTTAATATTTCTAAAACTCCTTAAGATTAAGTAATTAGACAACAGAATGTATGTTCACTTAGGGGATCTTTCCTTAATGAGGGCGGCTTGAAAACGTGGGGCACTTATTGAAAGGCGTTCAGAATAGGAGAACCGTGACAACTTACCATCTTTACCGCTGCGTCAAGAATTGACAAAAACGAATATGCGTGCTTTAATTCCAGTATTAATCTCCATAACAAACTACTGGGCTTACCCAAGTAGCTGTTTTGAATGACCCACACATTAGTCGAGGATAAGAGGTGGAAACAGCCCAGCCCTAAGGCTAATTTCTCTCTCCTCCCCCTCCTGACTATCGTGAAAAGGGGGTAAGTTTTTAACGAAACAGTTACTGCAGTGGTAGAGGTATTACATGATAATTTGGTTTCATCAACTGAGTTGGTAATGTAAATTAGAGTTTCTAAAATTGACTTTTCGAGCGTCGGTCGTTTGAGGGATAAAAAGCCTTGAAAACGACGCGAGAAAAGAGTGAGTGAGGTGACCTTTTTTCATAAGTTTGATTGAATCAAGAGGGAGGTCCGAATGATAGCTATCAACATTTAAAGTGTTCATGTGCCTTAAACTGGGGTAAATAAGGTAAAATACTGCGATACTTTCGTCTTTGACGTTTCAAACGGCTGTAGATATAAGCGCAGTCGAGCCCGGCCCTTTGACTCAAATTGCGAGGTAGACAAAAAATCAATCGCAATTAAGTTTGCGTTCATTTGAGTACCCATCCAACTTTGTCTGGTCAGACTGTGCAAACGCAACTTATGTCGTTTTATAGTTGAGCAGAAGTCACCAAGGAGCTTCTCGGTTAATTTTGGTTTACCTTTCAAAGTCTGACAACTCATTTGAATTACAAATAATTTTTTAAATTAAAATTCATACCTGTGATCAGTCTTGCACGTGGAGAGAGCTTACGAAGTACAAGACATTTCATCTTCTACTTCAGCTTCTCTGAGGCCAGGAAACACGTTATTTAAACCTTATCACTTTGGATATCGTTGTTTTCGTTAAGCCAAATGTGTGTCCCTGCGAAACTGCGAACTCGAGTTGTTCGAGGCAGCAATTTAAATACGACGTCTATGATTGATGGTTGTCATTCTGTGACCAATTTTCTCAAGGTAAATAACATTCATAAAAAATATTTTTACGAAAATACGTTGCTTGATCCAAATACTAGTTGTTGCATGTTTTTCATAATTAATTGTATTACAAAGGTAAATGGAAAGGGGAAATTACTATCGTTGATGTGTAAGAAATATGCTCTCTGGCAGCCGCCATGACACAGGTCATGGCGAACATCATGGCTTTCGAGGCATCAGCGCCCTATTCGTACTTCGTTTTCAATTTTTTGATGGCATATCTACTCATTTGTCTCTTTTCTTTTCTTTTCTGTTCTTAGTCTTGTACTGAATACAGCTATTCATGCTGATAGTATTTTGACGTTGAATTTGTTTAAACGCACAATTCATAAGGGAGGGGGAGGGTGGAGGGGGAGGAGGTAGTGGTAGAGGGTAGGGGGTAGGGAAGACTGGGGGGCACCCTCATATATGCTATATAGGAACGTACCGTCCCAAAGAATATGGTTTTCAGCCGTCATTGTCTGAAAAGGGGCATAGATTTTGACCATTTTGATTTTAAATTTGGTATACTCTCAAAGGGAACCACGGGAGCCTTTAGACATTATTGGGAGTGGCAACCAAAATATATCATTCGAGAAACATTTTCGGGTAAAATGACCGAATTTCTTACCTCGGTAATAATGCTAAGTCGATATTGGATATGGATTTCAGAGACACTTTGAAAACTGCCGTAGAAAATAGTAAATTTTGGATTTACTGGATTTTTGGAGGACCTGGCTCCTTACGCCATCTATGATTATCAGGAGCTTATTACCTCCCCTCAGTTGAATGTAACAGTTCATTCATTCCTTAAACGCTGATAATATTAGATAACGAGTTGCAATCAAGTTCTTCTCTCTCTTTCCAAACTTTCATTTTTATTCTCAAAGTGCTTACCTATATAAAAGATAGGTGTGCATTTATTCTTAAAGTAGTAACTTGGTATTATCAACTGAGCAGAGTTGATAACGTAAATTGGCCACCCTAAATAGTTGTTTAGCTTTAAAACGCTTCACGGTGGCTAATTTACGTTTTCAACTCAGTTGATAATACTTAATTACTCTGTAATATTCTCCCACCGACGCTGCACTACAGTTTCTTAAACTTATACCCTTTGTTCTTAAAATGTTCCTCTCTTTAACTCTTCAGGACAGCGTCAAGAATAGAAGGATAAAAATCTGAAATTAAGAAATGAAAGAGAGGAAAGAGAAAAGGATAACATCATAAAAGGTTGGTTGCACTCTAACACTGGCATTCATGTTCCCCACACTTTTTTCTTTGCAATTCCTATGGCAACAAAAAGGAGAATTTATTTGACAATCTGGAGCTTTTAAATTAGTGATCATTTCCTTTATTCTCATCACCTTAACTTTTGATTCAAGGGTGATTGTGAAAGAAGAAATTAGAGGCCAAACACTCTAAGGGGTTTAAGGCTAAATGCGACTTGCAGTGATGTGCATGCAGCCCTGATAAACTGATCGAGCCATTCTAGTGCCCTGTATCTCTCGCTGGTAAACACCGATATCAGAGAAATACAGTTGGTTGAGTTATGACCATCCCTCTTAATAATAAGGGAGCGATCTCTTGATTGATCCTCGTTTTTCGTTTTTTTAATGATCACTTGGTCATTGGATTAAAATATCCTGTTGGCTTAGTTCAGTTCAGGACATTGAAACTACAAGTAAAAAATGTGTTGACTTAAATTCCATTTACCTGTTTGGACATCTGACATGTCTTATCTTTATCATAAAAAAAAATATGTTTTACCTCGACATAGGTTTCCGTGTATTTACAAGATATTTCTTTTTTTTTCTCTGATTATAAAGGCGGCGTGCTTAGGATGGGAACATAACGAGATCTGGAAATTCAAGCGAGCTGGGAAAGAAAAACAAGATAACTTCTGGCAAGGTTAGTCAGCGAGTTGATTGTTTTGACACATTTATTGTCTGCGCCTGTGGGTGTGGTTTGCATTTTTGAACGCTTAGAACTGAATGTAACGAATATCTTAAGATTTAAAACTAGTCATTTTCAAATCTAGTTTCTGGTTAATGATTGGTTACTTAGATCTTCTCTGATTGAGGAAGTTTTCAATAACTTACAGCCACTTTTATTGTGTTGGTTGTGTCAAAGAGATTGCTGGTCGTTGTTACTCACTGTGTCCATTTGATCTACCAATTTAACTACGTCAACCTTTTAGCCAGTCAATAAAAAGCAATGAAAACTTACAATCTAATCGTTAAAGGTCTCAGATCTTGAGACTGGAACATTCAAATTTCAATATAATCCAAACGTTGATATCTTTCCATTTTTGTTTCCAAGAGTTTATTTACGTTACCGTCAATAAAAAGCAATAAAATAACCTGACTGTTAAATGTCTCACTTCTTGAGACTGAGGCAAGCATATTTTACTATGTATTAATGTTGTTATTCCAAAATACATATCTTTTTGGATAGTTCCATTTACATTTCTGCAAAGTGTAATTGTCTTAAAATTTTTCCAGCAGATTGCAACCTCAGTCTACTAATTCAATAAAAACCTGGAAGCTTAATTGTTGAATATGTCCCAGCCTTAGAGGCTAAAGCCAAAATGAATGTGCTCAAAAGTTGATTTTTAGTGGTCAAATTTTTTTTTCGAATTTACAATTTTTTTTACTCTATTTAATACCTTGTTAGAGCAAATAAAAACTCGATGTGCTTAAAAAAAAATTATATTTTTAAAATTTCTTTTTATAAGATTGTCTAACTTTTTAAAGAAAAAAAGTTGTATTTTTTACCGTATTCAGTACATCAGCGCTTCATAGTAAAATCTTTTAGCTTTTGGGGCTAAGATCAAGTTAAGTGTGATCAATGTATTAGTTTTTCCAATTGTTTTCTATAATTTTTCGATCTTAGATCAGTTCGATGGTCTGATATTTTTAAATTAGGATTTCTCTTTGTAGCCTAACTGTTAAAGATTTGATTAAGTTCTTGAGTCAAATTTGATCTCTTGGAATTTCTTTTTGGATATCATGAATTTATCACTCCTGTAATTATTTTGTAATTCAAAGCTTCTTAGTAAATGAAGCAAAGGTATTAGAATATCAGGCAGTATCCTTATAAGATATGATATTTTTTAAATTATTTTTTGGAATTCTTATTTAGATCTCTGAATAAGAATATTGAATTTTTTTACTGAATGAGGGAAGACCATTAGAAGCTGATTAGAGAGTGACTTTTTTTTTTAGATCTAAACTGAAGTTCATTATACTCTAGTAATCAATATTTCTCAAAATACTTATTTTAGAATTCTCTTAATAGATTTCTGACGTTGTATTAAATAGTATACAAAGTGAGAACAGTTTTACTTAAGCTAATACCAACCTCAAGGCCTAATCGTCATGCATTTCTGCTCTTTAGGCTAAAACTAGATACAAAGGGTATGCTGAAAAAAATACATCTTTTTCTTGGAAAACTTCTTTAATTTATCATGAACTGACTGAGAACTACTTAAGAACCTTTAGAAAAAAATTTTGAATACCATTTGTAACAACAAATTTAGAGAGTATGCTTCAAAAATGAATACTTCCCAGTATGTTGGCTTAATCAATTTCTAAATTTTAGATGCGGGTTTTGATATCCAGTAATGAACATGTAGCTGAGTAAACTCTCGTGGCTAAAATGGAAATGAGAAAAAAAAATTGCTCCAGGGAAATTTGATGCTAGTTCTATCCAGTGCATAATTCTGTACGGAGAAGAAAGGTCGGAAGTTATATCAGGTTGCTTCGGGCTTTTCAATCTACTTTCCTGTGCTTAGTTGGTAAAAATAATTGGGTAAAGATCTAAATCTTGAAGAAGTATCATTAGAGAAGTCGAGGATATGTGTTCAGTTTGGTACTGATCCAAAGCTGTTGGGATGTGCAGGTAGAAGTGTAATTGTTAGACACGAATTGTTAGACTCGAATTTGTTATGATAGTCGAGCTTCTTCACCAAGCATAGAAACATTAAACACTATCCTGCCACCCTAAGGTATCAAAATCTCAGGAACTTTATATCATATCTCGTTATCTAACTGTAGTATAAAACCAAGCAAATCTATCTTGCATGAAAAAAAACAAAACAAAACAAAAAACGAAACCAGTGAATTCATAAATGTTTGCAAGGAACGAATTTGTCAAAAGCAAAGGTCACTTGATTTCGATTTAGGGGCTTTTGGAAAGAATGAAATGTTCTCGTCAAAACGCCGTTAATGAGGTATTTTGGGCGAGCTCATTTTACCACTTAATTATCAGAGAATGATTTTAAAAATGCACGTAGTCACAGACATAGTTTGCAGCTTTTCATTCTTGTGTAGAAAATGTGTTCAGGAATCCACTTTTATTTTTATTTTATTTAACTACTCTAATTTTCCACACCAGGTTTTGTAGATCTTTACTCAGCGCAAAAAGAATCTTGCAAAACTAATTGTACTCTTTGACTTTTTTGGCCATGTCCGGTGAGAAACATGAACATGAGTTTATTGTTTAATCATTAACTGATAGTAACAAGTTCATTTGAACGTCTATAAACTTGATTTATGCAATAATTCTTAGTCGAATTTTGAAGAGATCCCAGGAGAATAGCCGATGGCACTCAGAATATTCACAATTCAATGGCTCAATACCTAAGAGCAAATATTCACCTTGACCTCATCAGTGACTTCGGATTTATTTTAACAAAAAGAACAGAAAAGTACTCGAAATTTTTCAGAAATTGTGTTGAATCTATCCTTCAATACATGTTGCGTTTACTTACAGTCCATAGACACTTCAGTGTTTGAGTTCTAATTTATATTCGTCTAACAATGTTAAATAAGTGATCTGAAAACTTTTCAGCGTACGACTCACATTATTAAAAGCAACGATAAACTGTACAGCATTTGTTAATGTATCGTTTATTCTCCTTTTCTTGCAGACTGAGTGGTGAATAATTCCGATGCTTCGAGCATGATCCCAGCTAAAGACAAGATTAATATAGAAGGGCAAAGCAGATGCAATGCATTTTTCCCAAGAATACGACGAGTCCGAGAAAAGACTCATCTTCTAGAGCCGCTATGACGTGAAGCAAAACCTAAGCAAATGTCGTTTCGTGTTTTTTGGACGCTGGAAAAAAAATCAACGTCGAGGACTGTTCAAACATTCAATTTTTCTTGCCTAAAGAAAGTGTACTTTAGGGTACGCATGCTCAATTTTCTTTATTCATTCTGGGAGTAACCTCTGTTCAAATGGATTAAATTTTCCCGCCAAAAGACTTGGAAAAAATACGGCGCTCACAAATACGCATGCGCCATATTTTTAAAAATATTGATTCTGTAAGTAACTTCCGCTAAAATGGGTTAATTTTCCCGCCAAAAAACTTAGGAAAAATACGGCGCCCAAAATACGCATGCGCCAATTTTTTTTTCTTGTACAAGTGAAAAAATTTTAGGTACTAGAATTTTGTATTAATACTTGATCAATAAAATGAAGTTCTCAGTTCCTCTGAAGTCTTTTATTTTCTTTCACAGTAAACTACACAATATATGTTATGATAAATCATTCTATTTGTTTCAAATTCTCCTAAACAATAATTAATTACTTAAGTTATTTTCAATTCATTAAATTAAAAAGGTGTCCAGAAAAATATATATATACTAAGACTTTTGGCGGGAAATTTAGGATGAATTTGCACAGCGTTTCCCCTGGCAACTTTTTCAGCAAGAATTTTTAACAAGGTTTGCATAAAGTTTCCCACCAAAATATATTTCTACAGCATCTCGTGCAAAAAATTGAAATTCACAAGGCCAATTCTTCTTTCAAAATAAAAATGTGATTTAAACTGAGGTAGTTCGGATTTGTTTCAAATTATAACTACTACAATTTCTTGCAGGAGATGAATTGTAAGAATTCAAACATAAAAGTACCATGGCAAGATCTAGAAAACTCGATCAGAAATATCGTCGAAATTAAATTTTCCTTCAGTGTTTGTTCTTTTGTTTTTGTACTCAATCCACTAACAGCTTGAGACTTGCCATGATGCTTTGTTAAAATGAAAGATCTTAAAAGCAGCTAGTTTTCGAATGTAACACAGGAAAGAAAATTGAAAAAAACCAAAAAAGAAAACCTCAAGTTTTTGAAATTGACTTCTTGGACAAATTTGAACAGAAAACCAATTTCATCAATTGTAACAGCAGATAGGATTTTTTTCGGTTTTCCACACAAGCTTACTCTGAGTCGTGTTCTTTTCTTAATCGAGTGAAAAAGTTGTCGTTTTGAATAAAAAGATAATCTGCATGGGCTTTTAAAAAGTATTGAAGATGAATCTATTTGAGAAGTAAAATTTAATGAATTTTCAAAGCATTCTCTCTCAATTCAAAGGGCAAAGTTTCCTTGAAATTTGGGTTTGCTGCAAATGCCAACAGATCTGCTGTTACAATTAAACTTCCCCCCCCCCCCCTTATTTTTATTGTGAAATTTTCACGGTAAATTCAGAAGTTCAAAGTTGAAAACCAACGAATTTTGTGAATTGCTTTATCTTTTGTCTGTATTCCTGTGTTGCATTGATTAATAGCATGAAAGATCTTCCACTTTAATAGTTATCTAACTACATTTCATTTTAAAACCCAATGCCTGGTTGAAAGAGCAAGTAAATATCTCTTACGTCCAGTTCAAACTAACTTTCAAAAACCAGCAAGAATTCAATGCTTTAAATAATTCATAGTGGAGATCACAAAACTATGCAATTCTTTTCAAGTTTTGAATAATTAATTTGCATTTTAGGCTTGCATGTTTTTCAAAGTTAACGTGCTTTTTCACGAATTTGCAACAACTAAGAGCAAAGATTTATACAATTTTCTAAATTCCCCTCTTTGTCGTCATTTAATGAGAAAATATTACTAAATAAACAATTTAAAACACAAGATTTAATCTCCATCATTGTTTCAAGAAAAAAAAAGAATCCGCACTTAAGTTTTATTTTGGCGCCACCTGTGCAAACAAAGCAATACTTGAAATGTGTTGTAATTTTGTTCGAAAATTTAACGAGAAAAGCAATTTGGAAGCAATTCTAACCAGGCATTTGAGTTTTAAAGATATAATTTCCAAAGTGACCAGAGAACATTGGTGCATTCGTTTCAAAAAAAATAAAATCCCGACCGATATCGAGCTTAACACCGTAATCAAACATTTGAATGAATTTGAAATCTTGATGAAACGTTAGAGCCAATGTCCTCTTGCAAACTGGAACAACCTCAGATGATGGCACAAAGTAGTATATACAAGTTTAAGATGGCACTGTACTAGTTACTAGTTCAACTTTGGTTGAAAAAAAAAACGCCTCCCCTTTTAACAAAGATAAATTAACAATCCAATTCCTGTCAAAAATGAAATATCAAATAAACTAGTTTTAACTCTATCCATTTGTCCTTAACTTTTTTATGAAAAAAAAGATGACTTGTCCTTAACTTTTTTATGAATAAAAGATGATTTGTCCTTAACTTTTTTATGAAAAAAGAAAATGATTTGTCCTTAACTTTTTTATGAAAAAAAAAATGTTTGTCCTTAACTTTTTTATGAAAAAAAAGATGATTTGTCCTGAACTTTTTTATGAAAAAAAAAGATGATTTGTCCTGAACTTTTTTATGAAAAAAAAAATGATTTGTCCTGAACTTTCTTATTGAAAATAAAAACCTAATGAAGTATTCCTTTTAAATAAAATAGGCAATCGTGTGGTGTGATAGCGAGTTGAAGTTGTCCTGTTGAAGAAGGACGGTTGTCCAGAACAGTTAATGACGTTTCGTCAATGTGGGTGGACCTTATCAAAAGACGATCAAGTTATTGCTCGTGAAAGTTATTGGTCAGTTTTCTTTGATGTTATCAGGCTCAATCAGCAATCCTCGAGTACATTTCTATTTTTCAGTGTCCATTCTTTGGTAAGATTTCCGCATAAGTTGAGAAGCGCTGTTCTTTGAGTTATGTTTATGTCTTGAAGTCGTTTTCAGATATTTTTTTATTATTTTTTTTTCTACTGCTATTAGAAGTATTCTTTCCTAAATTGGTAAACCAGCTTTCCAAAATCAGTCCTTGGAGTTGTAAGTTTTGTTAGTTACTCATTTACTAGAGAAGAGTCCATGTGAGTCCATGTTGAAAAGGTAGGATTCATTCCATTTATGTCATAATTTAAATTCTTATTTAGTTTTTGACTGAGCTCTACATGTACAGTGCCACCTTAACGAATATCAACTATTTGCGACATCAACTGAGATGCAATTGTGATACTGACTGTTAAGCAGACAAACAATAAGCGATCAGTCCGATCCGTCCAACGAAGTCAAATTTTTTGTTTCAGTTTTCTGTGGTCAAGTTTATGCATAAATGTCTAATGGTTACTTTTAGGGATGTGACGGGGTTTTCTAGGCAAGATTTCCGCATAGCTAGTCTCATTCTTTAATATGCATACAGTTCTGGAAAAACAAAACGGCGAAAACAATTGATCACGCTTGGGACTACGGTTTTTTTTAGATCAGTATGGGACTGTAAAGAGATCTTTATTTTCTGCCGTAAACTAGACCAGATTGAAGTGAAAAGGGAAATCAGAATGTATCATACGATCGCTCAGGGTCTGCAGAACAATCTGCACCAATGCAAAATTATCCAAAAGTGGTGACCAGATGCAAACTAATCACTTACCACGCAATTATTTCCGAGAACAATGTGAATATAAATGACACAGTTGACGAGGAGTAGAATTCTTACCAAAAACGAACTTAGACGGCCACCACTTTTGCTACAATTAGTTAAAAATTTTAAAGTTCTTATCTTTGTTATACCCTTCTTGAAGAATCCCCTTAAATATTCTGTGATTTCCACGTCTTCTCATGCCACATTCTTTCTCCTTCAATCCGTTTAACGGCACTCTTCATTCTGAAATATAAATCGTCGACGCGTTTAGAGACTGCTTTATGATTTAAATCTGCACAAAAACTAGAAAAACACAACTAATGACGACATGCAATCTAGAGAGCTTTGAAATAAACGTTGCAATATTTTTACATTTTTCTAAAATTCTGCCAGTGGCGATGGGATTTGATTTACAAAGCACCACGTAAAGACGTGAAGGCGTTCAGCTTCACATCTACATCTCCATTCTAATATGTATAACACACAGTAATAAATTTTCGTGACAGTCATCACATTTTTCCTAATACAAAGGTCGACTCTCTCACTCAATCGAACTTCGAGTTAAAGTGCGGCTTAAACCAAACAATGGACACGACTCGTTTGAAATTATGACTCCTTCATGTTTCTTAAGGAGATTTGGGTAAAAATTTTCGAGAAATGCTCACCTTTTGTTCTTGTAACATACGACTGCTTTCAGTTGCTCTTCTTTACAGCTCAAGCATGTTCTTATTCCTTCCAGAGTGCAGCTTTACCTTCAGCGCCAAAAACTGCACGTCTTAACCCCACTTCAGGCAACGTGGTTTGCTGAAAGTTATAAAAATTTCTGATGAATATGGATTAACAACCCTAACCAGTGATCGGCTGATACGTCACAGATTGGCACGGAGTTTTTTTTGCACGCTCAGCCAGCTTACATGTAAATCAGGAGTAAAGAAAGGCGTAGTGTGTATTGAATTTGCACGTGAGAAGAGGAAAAAAAGATCAACTATGACAACATCGCAGGATTTGTTTGTTTGTTTGTTTGTTTGTTTGTTTTTGCCAGGAACTTGTCGGAAACTGTAACCAAATTAAAGGAAAAAGTACAGCTTAACTTTATTTTCACGCGGTTCTTATAAATTGATGAATTTCAAAATCATATTTAATAAACGGATCTTGTAAGATAATCGGACAAATTTCTCTGTTAATCGCTATCTTCAGATTTTTTTTTAGTCTGACCTTAGGCCGTTACATTTTATTTAGTCTGAATGTGACAGCACAAAAACAAAAGATTAGGCGCGCACTGTCAAAGGGCTCCCGGCATAAACTAAAGCACTTCAGTCATAGCTAGCTTTCCTTACCTTTCAATTCAACCAAGCCAAAATGAAGTAAATATATCAACGGGTTGTTCTCTTGTAGCGATATATGGAGATGACGCTTTGTTATTTACCCATGAGGGAAAAATAGACTGAAATAATCCCGGCACTGTTATTCTCCTCTAAAGGAGAGGCGAGATCAGTTAGCACAAGGCACTTTTGATTCAAGATGAAAGATGTAAAACAAAGAGAACGCGCAGTCATTTTGCTCAGGATGAAACGCAAAATAAACAGAGGGCGCTGTAGTTTTTCTCATCCAGAGACAACGCACTTGGTTATTATTGCTAAAGTGGCGAGATTAAAGATCGTTAAAAGGCTGTAGTAAAAAAAAAAGAGAAAAAGAAAAAAAGGGGAATGGGTTAAGGTTCGAAGCTGTTACACATATTGACTTGCAACTTGCCAGTGCTGTGTAATAAATTAAGTAGTTGAGCTTACTTATAGCATGAATCCCACGACGGTCTTAAACACAAGTTCTATACCTAACTCCAATGTTCGACTTGTCTTTGAGAGGAAGGAGAGCCTTCGAGGGAATTGTTTTCCAGTAAATATTCTAGACAACCACTCAAAACGTTTACTCGGCTAAATGGCTGCTTGATTTGTACTCTGTTGGAGCCAAAACTAATCATATTTTATGCTCTCTTGAACCAAAACGATTACGTTAAATGCTTTTGAATAGTGGCATTTAAACTTAAGAGTGTGGCCGCTGACAAAACATGCTTGTCAAAATCATCGGGGCCTGTCCCGCTTTATTCACTCCCTGAAAAGTTTCACTCAATATCATCCAAATCTTGTTCGGTGGAACAAACACATGCGGTGAAGCCAGATAGAAAATGCAGCTATTGGAGCAAGCGCTTTTACGGTAAACAGGGTGCGCTATACTTGATGGTTAAGTAGCGATTGCTACAGGCCACCCAGAACAACCTGATCAAGCTTTACCGCTTTAGGAAGGAGAGGACAAACTCCCGTGGGTACCATGGGAAAGTATGGGGGGGGGGGGAAAGAGGGAGCTAATTCACTGAGGCCCTAAGAACCTGACCCCGTTGAATAAAACATCCTGTTTATTTCGCTACCATGTTTCAGTCATAATTGTAAAAATGTTGGTTTACCAACCTTTGCAAGGTTTGTAATTAGATTCAAAAACAGTTGTTAGAGACACATATACATACCTCAGTTCAAAGCATTCGGCCCAGACAAACGACTCTTTCAAGACATTAAATAGTAAAATTGCAAATGCAAACCTTGACTCAACATCCCAAAATTGTATTATGACTGGGAACGCATACCCGTTTAGCCCCCCCCCCCCCAACCCCTATATTCCCTGGCTTCTCCCCTCCCCCTCTTTCCCGGCCTCGCCTCCCTCTTTCCCACCTTCTCTCCAGGGAAACGTTTTTTGTTTGTTTGTTGCCACGTAACACAAGCGACATTTCGGTTTAAGGACGACTTTATTTACCAAACTAGTCTCTACATTATATCATTTGACAATAAATAACATCGATGGTCGACACCGAAAAATTTTGCATTTTAATCGAAATTCATTTTGTAATTGATATTAATTGATGTACCATCCACAATTAAAATTTAAATTTTTTTAATATTTCACATTGTTATTTACAATTATAAATAACATTTGTGACGTAGTATCCAGAATTGAACTGAAGCAGAGGAAACTTCAACTCTACTTTGCGTCGGTTAATATTCTAAATTATATAAATGCAATCAAACAAATAATCTGAGTGTAGGAATAGGGGAAAAACCTCAGTGATAAAATTAACAAGTTTTCTGGAAAAATAGCTTTGAGTTGCGCTTCATCTACCATTCTATTTCAACTTTTCTGTCAGCCATAATAATATGAAAAGGTACACGGATCCAAAAACTTTGTTAAGAAGAATAAACTGAAATCTCGGCCGTGGCGAGATAGTATCAAAGTTACTTATTTCTTCTATGAAATATTTGACTCATTTTTGTCAAAAAATTTATCTCGTGTCAATAAATACATGCACCGGAAGGAGACATCCTGAATTCCTTAACAAGGAAGGAAAATTATGACTAATGAATGCCTTACGATCTTGAGTTAAATCAGAATAATATTTCCCGATCTTTACACGCTTTATCTTGTTTTCACGACCTCGTTCAAACTGTTGCATTTAATTTGTAAAAATATGGTTACATTATTCACGCCTTAATGAATTTATCATCTTTATCATCTTAATCAAATAAAGAATCTCTCGGCGCAATTACATTTAATAGAAGCCGAGATAGAATTTTTCATGAAAATAAAGCTCTGTTCATTGCTTTTACGTGATCTACCGTATATCTTTGCAACAAAAACCGAGGAAAGGTACATCACGTGATCATTATCTGATTGGTTTTTCACTTGCATCCGATTGGCTGCGTTGCCAGCGCATGTTTTCTTTTCTTTTCTTTCATGTCAATCAATAAGACAAGAAGGCTAGAAAAACAGAAATTGAAAACAAATACTATGTGCACGGTATACCAACGCAAAGGACTGCTCTGATTGAAAGAAAACCACACCTTTTCTACCTCTCCTATATTCTCATTTCATTCAAATCCGAAATACTATTTTCAGAGCTATAAGGATTTTTTTTGTTTTCTTCATAAAACGACATACCCTTAAATTGCGGGTAACAATTTCTTAACACAGCTTTAAGTATTTCATCCTCTGGTTACTCTCACCCTCAGTACAATTTTGTTACGTAAAAGATGTCCAGCGGTAGACGTAACTGCTCCAACCTCCTCCTTCCTCGCCAGGTTCATTTTCAGCTCCTACAGAAAAAAGCACTTGAAGTCACGGGACGAGAAGGATTAAACCTTTAACTTCCACGCCTGACCAAAACAGAATTTCTCCTTACAATATGTATATCCAATATCAAGGAGACAAGTGGTGAGAATAGAGTAAAATATCAATTAGAAGATTATTAGTAGATCCACAGCCAAATTCTCCAAACTAACAGCAGAAGAATAGCACGGCAGACATAAAGGAGAATTACCACCGAGATCTAGGGAGTGAAAGGGTAACCTTCCTCGCATTTCGGCTTCTGATTGTTCGGTGCAAAGTGTGACTTGTCGCTCTCAGAAAAAAACGACGATTGAAAACAGCATCAGTTATTTTTACGGGTTCAAACAAAGAACTAGCTTTGCTTCCGTGTTTCAACCCTTGTCGTATGAAGGCACGGTCAAGAATGAAACAGGTCGTAAAACGTGTGCATTGCAAACCCTATATGTGATGCGGACGAGCCTGATTTGGAGATGCAAAAGCTTTGGTATAAATTCATTTTTAAAGTGACTTCATGTATCCACATCATACCTCGCGCGAGTTGAACTATCAATTCCTTCTCGTCCTGACTGAGCTTCAACATGGTGGTGAGGACTGGAACTAAGTGTTCCCGTTCATTCGGACGACACTTAAGGAACTGTAATATGACATTCTTCATATACTCTAAGTTTGCAGACTCTTTCTCTCGCTCTTGGTTTCTTTCGAGTCTTAAAAACAGAATTAAAAGTAACGAATTCATAAGTAATGACAAAGACAATAACTATAACGAGAGGGAGGAGAGGGAGAGGAAAGTAGCAAGGTTACATTCACCATCCACCTCACGCTTCGTTGTCCACTAATTCCAGGTCGAATTTGATTTGGATCGTTGGATTTTTCAGTATCTAACATGCTGGTTTGAGGCAAGAAAGTTATGACGGTATGGCATAGGAGCTAATAAAAGAAGTGAAACAAAAGTCTTCACCGCAATTCAACTTAAACACTCGGACTCAAACGGTTTATTTCAATACCTTCTTATCTCTTCCTTTAACACCTTCGCCTGCTCTGACAGTCTCATGGAATTCGCTTCACTCTCACGCAATAACTAAAGAAAAAAAAATTAGACTCTGAATTTCATTCTTAACAGGATCTTCAGGACAATTCGTCACCAACACGTTAGCATTGACCGCTGTCCCAGCAGAACATCTTGCATCAGAAATTGAGATGACTAAAGAGGACAAATTACAAAATACATCGAAAGAATAGGGAACCATTCCCAGTTTTCCTTATCTCGTAGAATACTATTCGGAGTATAACTGTTCTTGAAAACGGAGATTCTTTCCTCATTGGCTTTCTGTCCACACATATCCAGTGAAAACAGTCAACGAAACTGCATCTTATAAAAACATTCTGCAAAGTGCACATTACTGCGGATGCTCTTAAGCTGTGTTCGAGTGGACTGATTAAAAAGGATGACGTCACAATTGACACAAACGGCGCAAATATGGAAGTAAGGCAGGTAATTCATTTTTGATCAACCCCCCTCCCATAACCTCCTGCTTCATCACTGTCGAATGCTTTTCCATCAAAGACAGTAGCGTTTTCTAGATGTCTGAAAACGATGCATATTCACCACATCAAGAACACGGACAAGAAACCAACGGGTTTAACCATCTTCGATTTCAAAAACATGATAGGATGTTTCCCAACACAACCATTCTAGTGGTAATTCAGAGTACAATACGAACCAAACAAGATCTCAATAAACACTGTGTTACCTCGGTCAGATGTTCCACTTTCTTGTTGGCAGTTGCAATGTTCGAGAGTAGCAGATTTTCGTCCAGGGGAGGACCTCTCAGTGCTAAAACGAAAAAAAGAGCCACAAGAATAAAAATCATTAGTTTTGATCTTTTAAACGCAGATTTCCAACATATTTGTGTGCACAAAAGTTTTGAGCTTTTCTATAGTACCCACCTTCATCTCTTGGAGAAGTAGGAGTAGTCGGAGACGTTGGAGAAAGGATCTTCTCAAGAGTTGAGGCGATGGTCGGTGTCACTGGAGTGGTAGGAGTAGAATTGACCTAGAAAAAATTAAAAGTCTTCTTTTTTTCACACACATCACACTACGTCTCACAACAATGGGTCAAACTTGGCTGAGTGATGCTGTGTCCAACTTGCGCAACAGATTTTCTTTTCTTTTTTCATGGACAATTTAATTGGATAAAATGTGAAGAATTTACCTTGGCATGTCCCTTTTTCCTAATCATGTAACCGACGTGCGTTTTTGAGCACGGAGAATTGTCCAGGAATTTGTAGAAAGTTTCAGGAGATTAAATTGTACTCTAAGAAGTTTATTTTGAAAAGATTCGTATATAATTTACCGTAGTCTTGTGGCTAAGACAATTTGCTCTTTCAAAATAAAGTTTTTCTGTCGTGTTACTCTAAGTCAAGAAATGGCAAACGGAGCAACACATCTTTCAAAGCGCACTCACCCTTGGCGCTGAGTCGGTTTCTGCCAACTCACTCTGGTCCATGCCCTGTACAGAGGAGTAGGGCAAAATCAATCAATAATTTATTTTGAAAAGGCATAGACACTCAGACAACAAAATCATCACACCCACCTCCCCAGGCCGCCGCTCCTCCGTTGCCCTTTGCAGCGCGAGGTCTGGTGGTGAGCGAGACCTCACAATTGACTGCTGGGACTGTTGTTGTTTTTCCTGTTGTAACCTGCTTAACTTGCTCTCAGCTTCAGTCAATTTCTGCTGCACGCTTGCTAACTGGGCTCGATGTTCTCCTTCGATAACTTCAAGTTTTTCCTTCGAAGCGGAAAAAAAATAATATTAGACAAGCAGTTCATCACCCGACATTAATTCCATCAAAAGCATCGTTTCGGATAAGCCTCTTCCGAGAAAATTATCGTACTAGACTCCTGATTAGACAGTTGAATTAAAAAAAAACGAACTTCTTGGAATTTCTACTAGAACTTCCAAACTTTCGCATGGAAAATAAAAGACCTCAACACAAAAAGACTTTCTTAAAACCACGGCATACCATCACCACAAAACCGCTTCATAGTACAATGTTCCTCTCGACTACAAGCTGACATTAGAATTGAGCTCTTAACCACCTAATAAAAATAGCACTTACAAGGTAGAGTAATCGTAATTGTGAATATGTCTTAGTTATCTTGACTGCTGGCTTGAAAAACCTAACCTGTCTATACAGGCTACCCTGGCTACCTATGCTCTGCCGGCAGCACATGATAAGCAAAGTGTAATCTCGAGATTCCTCAGCAATACAATGTAGAACACAACAAAGCATCGTGCGTTCGTAGTCTCAAACAATGTTATCAAAAAAAAAATCTCCGAAAAATAATCGGCCAGAACACCACGAAACGGTAAGGCAGTACCACTACGCGTTTGTCGTGCATACTAAATGTAAGTGAGCTTAAATTTAAAAATGTCAGAGTGCACGTCACGCCCGGTTTTCTTCTAAATCCTTTACACCCTAACATCGGTATGTATATTCTTCATACTGTTCTTTATAAATTTCCTGAGGTGCTTAGAAGGAGAATTTGTTTAACAATCGACAGCTTCTTAAGTTGGTGATCATTTCTTTTATTCTCGTGGCCTTACTAAGTAATTCAGGGGGTGATATTGTGAGGAGAAACTAAATACTAGTCACTCTAAGGGATTCAGGGTTAAAACAAACCTTGAATGTGGCGGCGACAGACTCGTTCTGGAGGGTCATGTGTCTTATCGCAGCCAAATGCTCCTCATTTGTGTTGCTTCGCTCAGACTTCAGCCGTTCAAACCTGCACGATTACGAAACGAAAAAAATCATCCGTTAACAACCACTGCTGGATGGTGCCACTCTAAACAAGTTGCATTACCCAGACCATAAAAAACGTTATTCATCAGTGTTCCGAACAGGGAAACACTTGCAGGTAAAGATAAGTTTTGTTTATCGCGAACATAGGACAGCAAAGATGTTTTAACTGTACTTCGCGATTCCCTTTTTTTTTCTGGCTCCACTGAGCACTGTTTTTCAACTATAGTAAAATTTTGAAGTACTTTAGTATCACTTAATAAGGGCGTTAGCACTGGTTGTCAGACTGTCAGCCCCCAATCGAGTTATAGGATTCTCTTGGGTCACAGGAATACCAACAAAGCCAAAGGAAAAGCAACAACTAAACTATCACTCGTGTGTTCCATGTGCCATGCACCACTGACCTATCTTTCCAATGGGCCTCTTTGTTATCGATATCTTGTATCAACTTGCTGTGTCGAGCCGTTAGTCGCTCGTGCTCGCCTTCCAGTTCGTCATATTCGCTTTGGAGCATACTATATTTGTCGCTTGAGGAGCAACAGGAAAAATGAGCATGATCAGTTGAGTTTAAATAATCCAAACAGACGTAAAATGAAATAATGTGAGAGTCAAAAACATAACACATAGAATCAGGACTGGCTGCATCTCTCCCTTACTTGGCTTCCTGCAACTTGCTTTTCAACTGTTCAATGCCTTGTTCTAAACGAGTCCTGAAAATCAAATGGGGAAAGTGAATTGAACTGAAACAAAGGGATCCATGTCAATATCTGTACAACTGCGCACCTACCCCTCCCCTGACCCAACATCAACCCTATCTTGTCGTCAGTTGACTGTTGTTGGATTAGTGGAGGGGTAGGTGTGCTGTTGCTCATATATTATCATTAATCCAAACAAAGTTTGACACACACCTCTCAGAGTTCTCAAGTTCAGGAGGCTGGGGTGCAGGTTTGGTTTTCTGCTGTTTAAGGACACTGTGAACACGAGTCTGCAACGGAAAAACAAGAAAGCGTACCAAAACTTTAACTGTGGATAACAAAAAATATGGATACAATTCTTCTAATTAAAACAGAGAATGTGGGGATAGCGTGGTTTTTTTTTCCTTATTACTCCACTTCGGGATTGATCTATAAAAACCTGCCAATCAAGGGCAAACTGGAGCTTTAACTTCCCGCGTTTTCCCGCATTTCGAGTTCTGGCCGGTTTTGCTTTTATCTACATCATCTCCTCATTTGCCATTGTAATCACTTTAGTTTTGTTATCATGAAAAACACACAAAAATTGCGCACTCGCGCTTTCCTGCGCTCGGAGTTGTAGCTGATCCGTCGGGATATCTACCTCTCTTACCACCTCCCTTTAGTTTTGACAACATGACAAATGCACGAAACAGCTGGTCACTCGCGTTTTCCTGTGCTCCGAGCAGTTTGCTCGGTTTTATTTGCACTTCTCATCGGCTTTTTGTGATATTTCAATTGTTCTGATCATCCGTTACAATTACTATTGTTTTATTTCAAACGACCACCGATCAAAAGGCATTCGTAACTTCTCGATCAAATGTGTCAACTACTTACCTTGTAACTTTCAAACTCAGCCCGCGTGGCTTCGTGGGCCAGTTTGGAACTCTCCCACTCTGCTTTCACTTTGGACAATTTACCTTCCAAAGTTTCCACAGCTCGCCTGTTGCTATCCGTTGAAGAACGAAGCTGTGGAAAAAAATAACATTGATTTCTGAGCTTATTTGACGAGCAAATTATGCTTTAAATTTTCGTTTTTTCTACCTGTTTTCCTTTCCTGTTTACTAACAATTTCTGTTCTTCTTTACCTTTAAAAGGTACACTTACTTGCTCTTGGTAGCTTTGGCTTTCGGCCGTAAGAGAGGACAATTCAACCTGTAAAATCACGCAAATTAAAAACGATAATACATTAAATATATAATACTATATATATATATATATCATGTACTATATATCACTCGCAAAAAGTAAGCCGGATTCACTCCATCTCCAAATACAGAAAATTCCATAACTTTCCCAGCCCTTTTCGAGGACTTTTCTGATTTTTAACATGATCTACAACCAAGAAATTGCTTCCAAAATAGTATGGTGACACTCATGAAATGAATCGGGTTTTTTTTTCAGATGTTCTCAAAAATACCATATTTACTCATTTTCCATTCCAACAATTATTGTAATCAAATTCCCTGACTTTCTAGGCCAGGAAAATGATACTATTTAATTCCAGGACCTTTTGGATGTTCCACGAACCCCGACACATGAATTGCTTAAATCTTTTACCAAAGTGAAATTCACGTAGTTTTTAACCTTGTATTGCTCTGCCTCCTGAGTGGCGGATTCCAACTGTCCTTTCAATTGTGACTCAATCACCTCTTGTTCTACAATCTACAATTTAAAGGTTACAATTGGTGAACTCATTTAAAGTGTGCGAATGTTGCCTATGCTGTCCATACCTGGAATTTATTACAATAAGCTGTGTCACGCAAGGCAGCGTCACGTCACATTATTCAGGAATAAGTAACGCTACACCAGGTCGTGCTAATGTCTGTAGGTAGGGGTAATCGCACATTAAAAAAATCGTTTCCTTTGTTGGAAAACCAGCAGATTTTAAGCGGAAACTAGGAGAGACGTTCAAGAAAAGTATATTTTAACGTCAACTAGCATTATCATACCATTACTACCTTGCCCTGCATTTTTAATCAAAACTTCCTTTTTCGGGGGAACGGGGAGGGGAGAGGGCTTATTTAAGAGGGGGTTGGGGGCTCCTTGGCAGCTCGAAGCGCTATAAGGGAACCTTATTGGAAACAAGGCGTTCGACCGAGCGTTCACGAAAAGTAGGAACAAGGGAACAAAATGAGATCCTCTCCTAGGCCTTAGGAAGTACTCGCACCTGCTTTTTGGCCTCTGCAAGCTCTTTCTTCGTTTTCACCAGCATGCCTTTCATTTTCAGGGCTCTCTCCTCGGCTTGTTGCCGTTGATTGTCGACCATGTCTGCAACCAACACAAAAGTTCATTGATATGAAGTGGTGTAGAATCCTACGCTATGACGGAGCATTAAGACAGCAAGTGGAAGAGGGAAGACAAGGTCAAATCTAGCCAAGCAAATAACTTAACCCTTACCTCGCAAAAGTGATTAACATGAAACTTCTCCCTATAATATGCATACATTACCCGGCAGAGAGGTAGTGAGAATTGTAGAACGTATCAGGTAAAATTTACTATCGTGATCTAACACCAGATTTTCATAACTTATTTACAAGGAAATGTGTAGCAGCTATAGGGGAGACTTAACAATCAGATCTTGGAAGTTAAAAGATTAAGGTGTCTTGGAATGGCGTGTTTCAGCTAGCTGTTCATCTAAATCAGTTTTTTTTTCCTTTCACTCACCGATCTGAGTTTTAAAGTCATCTGCTCTTTTATCCACTCGAGAAACTTCCTCCAGTGAATCTTGTAAAGCCTTTTCTTTTTCGGAGAGTTTGTTCTGCAGCGCTTCCAGGGATTTCTGATAGTCCTCCATCTCTAAGCTCATCAGGCTGCTCTGGTTGGCTTCCTGCATTTTTTAACAAAAAATAGTTCAGGAATAAACGAGGGAAACCTGACTCTACAACTCAGTAATCCTAGGGAAGGCAAACCAATGAATTAATTTGTAGAATTATAGAAATAATAATACATGCATACTAGTATAGACATATGAACCAACAATCGGCGACAAAATTGTTGACACATTGACGTTTTCAATCCCCTAACTTTTCAAATGATCTCTTTTGCCCTTGTTAACTTAACCTATTCACCACCACCCCTCCTCCCAAAAACAATGTTGTATCGTGATTCCATGAACTTTTAGCAACATATATTGAATACATACAGCAACATTGAATAGGGGAAGGGGGTTTAGTCAATGATTTGGAGTGCGGTATAAACAGGAGTGTTATTCTACACATAAATAGGACTCTTCAAACATGATGTGTCAACTCATTTTGACGTTGATTATTGAAATGACCTATCTCACCACAGAGTTCTTTATTTCACCGGTTACGCATCGTAGCGCAGAATCCAAAGGTTTGCAATTTAATTTATTATGGAGGCTCTGGTCTTTTCCTTTGTCCCAAGCTCTTGACCAAAAGAATAACATCTTTCTGTTGTTCTACTACCGAGTTCAAAATGTACTTTCTGCTAATTACAATTAAATCCTTTTTTGTTTCTTCAGGTAACTTAGAAATATAGGGATGTTGAGCAGTGATTCGAAACTTATTTTTCCTTCGGCTTTTGTCTTATATTAGGTGAAAATTTTCGATATTTTCATGTTGATTAAGTACTTTTTTCCTATCCCTTTGTTCCTTGTAGTTTCATAGATATCTCAGGAACATGTTACTTATTAACCCTTTAACTCCCATGAGTGACCAAAACAGAATTTCTCCTTACAACATCAATACAATATCAAGAAGACAAGTGATGAGAATCAAGAAAAATATTGATTAGGGGATTATTAGTTGATCCAATACCAAATTCTTCAAACTAACATCACAAGAACTATATGACAGACAGTAAGGAGAATTACTAAAGGTTAATATTCACACAACTTCACACCTTTTCTGCAGCCTCCAATTGTCGTTTAGTTGTTTCCAGTTGATTTTTTGTCTCCTCGTGCCGTCTCCGTTCTTCTGTTAAACCTTCATCAGTATTTTCCAATTTATTTAAAAGCTGGAAACAACAAACATACAAAGTGATATAGCACAAAACAGTGAAATCCAGTTTACACGCATTGCGTACCTATTTCGATTACCGCATGCAGAGACCTGACAATCAAAACACTTTTAAAATTAAACAAACCTCTGAGTTCTCTTTATTGACTTGTTCCAACTCCTTAGAGGCATTACTGAGCTTCTTTTCGAGGTCAGAAATTTCTTGCTTACTTTTACTGCTATCAGTCTTTAACAACTGCGGGGGAGAAATGGACAAGATTATATGAATGAAGCGATACTAGCACACGCTATAAGCTTACAGATTTCCAACCAATCGGATAAAAAAAAAGAATGCACGGTCACGGGTCGATCAACAAAATCATAATTACCTCAGCTTCTCTAAGACACTCCTGGATTTGAGTGTTAAGCTTTTCTTGTTCTGCTTTGGAATCGGTACGTTCCCTCTCCACAACCTGCAAAATTGACAACCAAATTTTACCCATACTTCGAAAAGTGAGAAGGCTAAAGATCCCGTGAAACACTCCCGAAAAGAACTCACCTTCAGCAGCGATTCATAATTTTTGTTCAAACTTTCATTCTCAGCTGACAGTTTTTCGGCCTCTAGGCGAACATTAGCCAGTTCCTGCACAACCTGCGTCATGTTATCGGATGATCCAGCCGTCCTGTATTTAAGTTGACAACGTATTAATACATGTTGTCTTCTTTGGGATCAAATTTTCACATTAACCCTTTAAACCCTCGTAGAGACCAGCATCTAATTTCTCCTTACCATAATACAACTGAATCATTCATTAAGACCATGAGAATAAAGGAAATGACCGCCAACCTAAGAAGCTTTGATCATTAGACAAATTCTCCTTGTCAGTACCAAAGGAAAGATATAGAGAAGACTATGGAGAATATAGATGCTGATGTTAGGTTGTAAAGGGTTAAGCATTGCAAATAGTCCATTTTTTATTACTAATGTTCACGAACTTTTTCAGAAGCTAAGTAGGTGGAAAAGCTCGAAGCTACTCGGAAAATTATCGGCGAGACAATTTTGCTGCATCAGGGGTAGGTGGCGTAAATTAGCATAAAACATAAGGAATTACGTTACTTAAAACCTCAGAGGTGACGGAACGGGACTCCTCCTAACAACATAAGTACATTTTTATAGCGGAAAAGTAATGGGAAGAAAGAAAACGATCCATTACGAGATATTTGATTTTAAAACAAAATTCTCAGAACTAAACGTATGTAAGGTAAATAGTGCGAAATTTATACTAAGAATTTGTCAACAAAAGGGTTCAACGCTGTACTAAGTCTGGGAATTGCTGATTTAAGCTAGCTTTGACTCTCTCTCGAAAAACTGCACTTATCAGCTCGCGATTCTGGTAATGAAGTTTTAGACACTTTGATACATAGACTGTTCTGAGGACACTTACTTGGATTTTTCTGTTTCCAGTTCCTCTTGAACTTTAGTTAGCTGGGTTTGCAGTTCCTGAAGTGCAAGTTGCGTAACAACATGTCAATCATTTCGAATCATCGAATTAGGGACCGGTCATTGTTCATCGCCCAAGGGGAGGGGGGAGGGGGGAGTCGGGGAATTTTGGTTGTGTTACATTATCTCCCTCCCCCTATGGTTCTGTAATATTCTTATGATTCCTCATTGGCAGTTAATTGACAGTTAATTGGCAGTCAGTTTTCTTATGTCCCCCTCTGTTTCCCTGAAAACTATGTGACCCAATTCTCTCCCTCTCCCCAGGCCAAAAAGTAAAGACTGGCTCTAAATAATTAATATTTAAGGCAGATAAAAGACACGGTTCTCTGGCTAAAAAATTTTTGACCAAAGAAAAGCCTCTTAACTTAAATAATGACATAATACTGGTTTCTCTTCTATTTTTCGTGTTTACCTGATATTCGTTAGATTGCTTGAGCGTTTCTTCTTGTTGCTCAACAAACTTGGCGTTCAACGTCTGCGCGTCTTCTTTCAGATCTTCTATTGTGGAGGTCAGTTCGTCTTTTTCGTCCTTCCACTAAACGAACGCAAAAAGAAAAAAAAAACATCAACAAACACGTGGTTGTTGAGCTAACCCTTTCCACCTTAACATCAGTATGTATATGCTCCAGACTGTTCTCCATGCATTTCCTTAAATGACGAAAAGGAGAATATGTTTAACGATCAAGAGCTTCTGAAGTTGGTGATGTCTTTACCTTATTGTCGTTACTTTAATGTTTGATTCAAGAATGAAATTGGATGGAAAAATCATGTGCGTTTTCACCCTTAGGGGTCAGAGGGTGAATCTCGCCTGACTTTGCTCGACTGATTTCAAGGATGACAAGATGTTGACGCAGTTAATAATAATAAGATAATAATAAGCGATAAGCGAGAGAAAAGGTGGAATTTTCTGTCTGCTACTAGAAAGCGAATGTAAAATAAAACTGCGCTGAGATCCAAACCTGCTTCTTGTAATTCTCCAGTTCTTTTTTGGCTTTGATGGCGACTTGCTTCAGTTTGTTCAACTTATCATCTTTTTCCTTATTCTCGCGCGCTAGTGTTTCTACAAAACAAAGAAGAATTACAAAGCTGGGCATTGACCTAAAAAAAAACTGTACCACAAAATTCAGTTTGCCACAAATGAAGCCATGAGGTTTCCGTACGATTGCTCGAATCGTCTTGATACTCTCAAAAAGTTTGCAAGCAATCGGAAGGATAACGGATGCCTCGAACGATCGATACGTCCGAAATCATCCGGACAGAACTTTGTGCACAAACATGGTTAACATATAATCGCCCCACAGAGAAAAACTTTCAATTGAGTGTCTAAAGTAATGCGGGATTGCTTTGCTTTCACTTAAATTCACTTTGTAATCGGTCCAGAAAACTTGCACCATCTTCTCAACCAATAAGGTGCAAACTAAAAACCATCGCGACTTGATCATCCCCGTTTTCCCGCGCTTCAAGTAGTTTGCTTGTTTTCATTTTGCTTTCTCACTGGCTGATGATAATATAAACCTTGTTCTGATTGGTCGCTGCGATTACTTTGGTATTACTTTTTTGACACTCAGTTGAAAACTTCTCTGGTCTCAATCTTCCTGCATAAGGCAATCAAGATGATCCAGTTGATCATATGGATATCAAGCTTTGATAACATACCACGAGCCTCTACGGTGGTTTTTAATTCCTTCTGAAGTTCTTCTATCCTATTCGTAACCTGACACGCCTCTTCAGCTCCAGATTCCATCTCGCTGCTCATACGCGCAATGGCGCTTTGCACCTTCTCGACTTCAGTTTGCTTCTCGCTCAGTTGAACCTGAAGATTTTTTATTTCCAAAGCCTTCCCTTCGAGTTCTGCATTCAATGTCTGAACACTAGACTCAAGGGACAAGATTTTGCTCGTACTTTCCTCATTGACCATTTGATATTTCTGAATTTCTCCCTCTCTCCGATCAATTGCCTCATTTTTAACGCTAAGTTCATTTTCAAGTTCGCTTATTTTCAACAGCTGTGTTTCCAGTTTTGATTCCACATCGGCAAGGCAATGCTCTTTTTCCTCGATCAACGATTTCAATTGTTGCAATTCCTCCTCCTTTAGCAGAAATTCTTTATCTACAGCAACAGTTTGCTTTTCAAATGCATCCATCTTTTTCTTTAACTTTCTCTCAATCTCCTCCTTTGAGGAAAGATTTTCGTTGAGAAATTCAATCTTCTCGCACAACTCTTTCTTTTCTGACCTAAGTTTCTCGCTTTCTTGTTCCCTTTCCAAAACGGATTGCGTGAGTTTCTCGTTGCACTCCTGTAATGCCCTGATTTCGTTATCCTTGGAAGCGGTTTTTTCGTTAAAATCCATAAGATTATTCTCTTGCATCTGCAAATCTTGTTTAAGAGCAACAATCGTTTCATTATTCAGTTGACAAGTCTTCTCAACGTCCACTTTCTCCTCTTTGTTTGAAATGATCTGTTCTTCCAACGAACTTACTTTCAACCTCAAATCCTCTTCGACTCGTAAATGTTCTTGTAATTTCAGCTCGTATTCATTTTTATCCTTCTCTTTATCCTGCAAACTCGATTCGAGATTTTTTACCTGCAATTTCAAACTTTGCACCTCTTCAGAAAGTGTAACATTCAATTCCTTAGAGCCCGCTAATTCCATGGTGGTTTGTTCGAGTTTTGCATTCAAACTGTCAACAAACTCTTGGAAATTCTCCAATTCTTTTTCCTTCCTACTGAGATTTTCCCTGCAGTCATTGATTTCCGTCTCCTTCGACTGAAGGCTTTCGTTCAGTTCCTCAAAACTTGAATTGAGAGCCACAAATTCCTCCGTTTGTTTTGCTAATCCATCACTGCATTTCTTCCGCTCTTCCAGTTCGTTATTTAATCCCTTTACTTTTTCTTGTGATTTCTGTAAGTTCTGCTTTAGCTGTTTCACAGCCTTCACAGCTTTCTTAAACTCTTCTTCTTTGCTTCCGAGTTTCTCTGAAACACTGCGGAAACTTTCGTTAACAGCTTCCAACTCATTCTTGTTTTGGTCGAGACTCGTTGATAACTCTACTATCTGGGCATCTTTCTCCTGTAAAGTATTATTCAATTTTTCGATGGTTGTGGCTAGCGCTTCCTTTTCGCTGTTTAGCTTTTGTATCTTCTCATTAAGTTCTCCAACAGACTCACTCATGGTCTCCTTTTCCAGATTAAAATCATTCAATCGCAATTTCAACTCTGTAAGTTCGTTATCCTTCAAAGCAAGCGTTTCTCTCAGTGCGCTAACTTCTGGGTTGAGTTTTTCCAATTCTTTTTTATTTTCTTCGAGTTCACATAAAGCCTCAGTTAGTTCGCTCCCTTTTTCTTCAAAAGACGTGTTCAGCGTGTGGACAGTTTCCTTCAAGTTTTGATTATCCTACAAAGGGAAAAAGATCAATTTTAATTAACAATTGGTTCATATGTCAGCGTGCGTTCATCGAGATATGAAGCACGCGGGAAGTTTGGAGAGCACGAAAGATGCGTAAGAGTTGCTCGAGGCGTAGCTGACGTCACGAGCGTGCACAATAGGAATATGAAGCACGCTCGCGCAATTGAATTTGATCAGACAAAGTTACTAGCTATGTTATAAAACTCTCTGAGTCAGGACAAAAATCTATAGTGTAAAGAAATTTGTTTTCGAAGGCTAAATAAGCTTGGATTTTAACAGATGCTGCTGCGAATACCTCATTAACCCTTTACATCCTTACACTAATATCTACATTCTCAATACTCTTCTGTCTAAATTTGCTTTGGTACTGACAGGGAGAATTTGTCTAACAATCAAAGCATTTTACGATGGCCATGATTTTCTTTATTCTCATGATCTTAGTGAATGATTTAGCAGTATAACTGAAATGAGAAATTAAAGGCGGGTAACTCTTGGGAATTTAAAGAGTTTAACTCTATACTTACCAAGAGCATGACATGTCAAAACATTGATCAATTCTAATCACATATACTGAAGTTCTAGTCTGTTCAAAACTACCTATTTTAGACGATAACCTTAACCGCAAGCAGAAAAATGTCAATGGCGTAGAACAATGTAAAATGTGGATCGTTTTCGTCACGTAACCCTTCAAAAGTGCGTGACATAAGACAATGTTGTGTGACTCACCTGCTGTAATCCGCTGTTGATTTCTTGTAGCTCAGAAAGCTGCTGGTAATGGAGCGATTCTGTGGACAATTGACCTGACTGTATTTCAGCTAATCTTCCTGATAAATCCTGAAAATCCAAGAGAAAAAAAAGCCTCTTAAAAGTCTTAACAATTTTGACCTTTAGTTTTCATTACACCAAACTACCTTTTGTTGATTTGTTTTCCAGACGAAGTATCACGCAACAGACGAAAAGGAAAAACAAATAAAAATTCAAAGGATTTATCGTAAACTCTTTAACGTATTTCCAACACAAAAACGATGGATAAAACGTAGAGGATAAGGGAAGACAAGGACAAGAAAATTCTACTTCCGGTGGCTGCAAAAGTATGAAGATTTAGGTAACGAAAGAAGCTGAAAGCTGAAGGCATTTGTTATATCTTTAAAGAAATATTTCGTTATCAATCATAGAACCAAACTAACATGGTTCTTTACGAAAAACCAAACCATGCGGGAAGAAAACAAATTGACAGGGAGAGAGAAACTTTGAGGATACAGAGGATTGAGGCAGATAGAAAATAAAGAAAATTTAACCACTCTGATTTTAAAGCAGACGTGATAAGTGAAATGGCTTAGTAGACTTGGGAAAACTTGGGAAAACACGAAAACTTGTTGCGAATCGACATAAAAATAAAGTATATGCTGTTGCTGAAACAACAATGCTAAAATGTGTCATGAAGTGAAAGTCCAGTGATCTGAGTATAAATTCATTTTCAATGTACCTTGTGTTCCTTCGACAGCGCGTCGAATTGTACGTGAAGATCCTCCAACTCTTCGTGTACTCGTTCAATGTAATCGTTCAACTCCTGCAATAAAATAAACATCGTGTTATGACCGGCTTTGTAAGGAAAAACAGAGGCATGTCAACAAAGGTTGTTTGAAGACATTTCGTGAAGTAGAAATATACAAAAACCTGAGAACGAAAAACTGTTTGCAATCAAACAACAGCAAGGGAAAGAGAAATTGTGGGTTTAGAAGAATAAACCTCAAGCGTCGGATAAACACGACCCTGTTTGCTGGTGACGAGGAAAAATATTTACATTTCCGTACAGGTATGAATAACCAAGGCAGACAAAAAACAACAGCTACAGCCGCAAATTAAGGAGTAGGGCCTCGCAGTATGTGGTCTTCGTGATCACAAGACAAAAATACGATCTTCTAACATAACGATGTCAACGAAACTGGATCAGTGCGTAGGATTCTTCTTTATCGCTTTAAAAATCTAGTCAAGCAATGGTGTTAAATTACAGACCAGCGTGATATAGTTCCACTGAATATCAAATGCACAGGCCTCCACAAACGACTGTCAATAATGTTAAGAAAATATGATAAAAAAGTTGTTCTTCGTTTTGTTACGTGCGCGGATCACGAAAATAATCCGAGTCCCACCAAACGATCGAACCCCAAACCTTCGGATATTACGGTTCAGTACTATTCCGAAATTAAATTCTAGGTGTAATTCTGAATAATCCTTGCAGAAACAAAGGGGAAGGTAAATTTGACACTGATTAAAATCACTCTTGATGGCTTCGTGGCAGTGGCAAAGGGTACATTGAACATACTAAAAACTTGCTGTACGAAATACTGTACAACGTACCCGAAAAACTGAAAACAAGAAGTACCTTGGAACCTTCTCTTTCAATAAAATTTAGTTTGTTTCAGAGAAATTTTTCACCATACAATGACCACACTCGCAAAAAAATAAAGAGCGTGACAGTAGATAATTTGATATGCTCGAATAAATTATGTGTGATTGACAGTTCACTACCAATTCATCAGTCACGAAATCCAGTTAAAAAATTGTTCCCCCATATCTAGTTTACATCTATACCTTCTTCTCTCTCAATTCATCGTTGTATTTAGCTTGTAGATCGTCTTGCGTTCTAAAGAGCTCTTCAATCTCCGTTTCTTGAAGCTGAAAAGAGGAAAAAGAAAGGTTACGAAGATTGGCCGATGCAAATGTTTGACGTGGCGCGGCGCAAGTTTATCAAAAAAACATCTGTAAAGTATAGTTTCAACAACAAAGAATTGAGATTATCGATAATAAAAGCTGTAAAAAGAATTGGGAATAATATCACAATATATTATCTGAATGCTGATATCATAAAAATAAACCTCGAAAAATCGATCACACGTACGACTTCAAAATTTATGTTACTTTTAAATTTCAGGAAGAGACGCAAACAGCTTTAATGAATAAACAATCTGAATTTACTTCGCCGAAGGCTGGACTAATCCTCACAATCATAGCAATCTGTTAATGGAATGATTAAAGGAAAGCGTAACGCTAAATAAGTAACAGACGAATGTCAGTAAATACGTTGCAAGCGAATTCAAGTAAACGATCACAACAAGTTTAAGAATAACTCTCACGTGTGCAAAATCATCCAAACAATGGACATACCTTTACGAGAAGAAACGAAACACGCTCGAAATAATGCGCAAAGTTGTCAAAGAATAAAATTTTTCGCGAGTAACTTTACTGCCACACGATTTGAATTAGATGTCTTGAACAAATAACGATATGCAAATTTCTACGTTAGACTTTTTTGTTTCCCGTTTGTCTTTCAAAACTCCAACGCGACGGGATGTATAAATTACCGCCGGGAAAAAATAAAGTATAAACTAGGGATGAATATTGTATGATGCGTTGTAATTTGTGAGCCAAAACAAGGCGAAATACGCAAACATAAACATTTAGCATCGCTTCTGGTCTAGCCACGCAGTAACAGTGAGTTAGACCTTAGTCTCGTGGTGAAATATCACATCTGCACGCTTTAACAGAATCAAATCGATGAAAAAACAAATATACAAGTTAGGCAAAATCCACCTCTTCCAAAAATCAGTCGTCACAATCTTCTAAAAAAGGACACTATGTTTCTCACATTGTATAAACATAACCGTTGCTAAGTAAGCCTTCATAAAAAACGCCGCAGGTACCTGTAGTTGTGGCAGTTTTAATTCACGCTAAAAAAGGAAGGCTTTCACTTCAAACTGAAAGCGATCAAAGTAGGATTTTATCACAGCATCAGTATATTTTCAAGCAAAGATGTGATGAAAGGAAAGTAAAATATTTTGAAAAACATTTCAGCTATATTGTTTAATAACAACTCGTAATGAAACAACTTTCATTTGACCTGCGGATGAAAATCAAGCAAAGAATTGATCATCGCAGGTGAGCTGCAATTTCTTTAGCAGAAAAGACGGCTGAAAAAATTCAATCTTTGATGGGATTCAAACTCGTGTCTCCCCGATAGTAATTTGGCGCTTCTACGAACTGACTTGTAGCCGCACGAAGACACATTTTAGAGGGTTCTTCTGTCACTTAGAGGAACTTAATAAAAAATCTTAATGAAACATATTTCATTTGTGGGTCACTGCCAATGTACCTCAGATGGTAGTAGCGTAGTGATACTGTAAGGAGAGGTTAGATGATTTTCACTACAACGGGGGTTAAAGGGGTAAAAAAGTTACTCTAGAATTTATAACATGGGTACTTACAGATTTCTCGTCATTTGCCGCCTTCAACTCCTTTGAAAGTTGTTGAGTTTTGCTCTCTAACTCTTGAATTACTCGCCGTGAATCCTGCAATGAAACAACACAACACGGATGTCAACAACCCAGATGAATTCTCACGTTAGAGGTCAAAACCAAAAACAAAGAGGGAGCAAAGAGTGTTGGAGATAATTTAACTACAGAACTACCGTTTTCCTCACTTGCGTTTTTCAGGCTAACAGTGGAAAGCACAAGGCAAGCGCGAAGGGCGAGCCGCGCACGAGACGAGGCGCTCTACGTCTCGCGCGCGACTCGTTCAAGCTCTCGCACGTTACTCGTCCCTGAAGCTTTCCTCTACTTGCCTAAAGTGTAACACATTACTTCTGTTTTCCAGAAAAAACGCGCGTAACAAACCTCTAACTTGGCATTAAGTTTTGTATGTTGTTCTTCGGTCAGTTTCAAAGATTGCTGTAGTTGTTCCTTGTCATTCTTAGCAAAATCCACCTGCCGACGCAGGTCCTAATAGAGAGAAAGAAATGATACTGGTTATACCTCGACGAGTAATGATATTTTGCAGCTCTGTAAACACCATCACAAAATTTACCCAAAAGATCCCATCGAACAACTATGCAACTGCTGCCGAGCGAACGAGTCAACAGCAGAGCAACCTAATCTGTGATAAGCGCGAGAAATACTTCGCTTTAAAAAAAAAAACGTTTGCCGCTCGTTTGGCAGTTCAGTAGTTCGAAAAAGTTCGCGGGAAAAGTTCTCGAGACAACCGACGATTGGTTAATTTTTGCGGTCGAATGAACGGGTGTCCTAAATTCGCTTTGATTGGTCGGCAAATGCCTCCTCACTCAATCAAAAACATTCTTGTATAATAACTACGGAAGCTTACATGACTGCTATACATTAAAAGAAATCAAAGAAAAAAATCAAGTACAACCTTGACACTTAAATTTGCTCATATCATATATGGTTACCAAGAAAAAATAAGCCAAAAAAAAAACAATTGAATCGTTACCCAGCACCAAGAGAAGGTTACACTTCTACTCACACCAGAACTGAAGTAAGCAAAAACCCTTATTTTAAACAGCAAAAGAACCCCAAAAGTGAATGTTAGCAAAGTAAAAGAAAGAGTGCCGTAACAGGAAAGAGATGTTGGCAAATATTATGAAAGGAGGCTTAAAAGAAAGAACGTCGCAGTAACGAAATATAATTACAAATGGTAAAACGATCACGGTATCGTGAATTTTTGCAGAGAGAAGGAAACACTGATACTAAAAGCCATGTCTTGACGTAAATGAATGAATGAATGACGATGAAAAAAATAATTTTTGAGGTAAATGTGTTGCAGAAATAATAAAAAAGCAATGAATTTTCACAAGAAAATTTTCGTTGGACTCTGACATGAGTGTGTGAAGCACAAACTGGCGCTTGTTAGCAGCAGATTAAATGAAAACAGAAATTACCGTTAGTTTATTCGAGCGAGAAGCTAGCGCTAAACAGAACGTTGCATGAGGCCAAGATATATTTTTATGTCACAGCCCTCTTGAATTCCTTAGGATTTATGTGTGTTGAAATCTTTCGCTCACACACAACCTTAACGATTCAAAATGGCTGCCATTGCATCAATAACTTCCCAGAAGAAGCGATGAAAAGCCCAGAATGAGCTGTAGCACGCATGCGTTGGTTAAAAAGACCAGTACCGTAGTCATGCACTGCTCCTGGATAAAGTTGTCTTGAAGAGCAATCAGTTCGGACAGAAGAATACCCTTTTCTTCAGAGACAGACGATAGTTGAGTAGAAAACCCCTGAAAAACGGTATTCAGTGTGGCGTCACTAATAAGTCTGTCAATCAAACACGGGCCGGGGTGATTATCAGTGCGTGCGCACTGATCATCCTCGACCCCAGTGCCCAGTGTCTCATGCTCGTCCTTAGTATATGCTCTGGGAAAATTTCCCCACGTTTCAAAAGAGAAACCAGTCGTTCATTCGTGCTCATGTCAGAGTCCTCTACTTTGCGCTTGAGTCAAAGACCGATGACAACAAAGGAAAATCTCTCAAAGAGACCACGATAACTCAAAGAAATTATTTCAAGGGCAGGTAAACGAAAAAGTTCAAGTCGCAATTTGTTTTGTATATGAATGGTCGAGAAAGTGGCACTGACTGGTTTTCTAGACCAATCACTGAGCGCTAAGGTAAGGCGAATACAACTGAAACTTTATTTCCCTTCTCCTCCATTCTAGTTTCTTTTACTCACACCTCTATCAACAAACCTTTTCCATAACTCAAACTCAGGAAGCCAGGTTTAGTTTTGATATTAGAAAGACGTTTAACACAGCTTGGGAGCAGGTCCTCATTAATAGCGCTGCAGGACACGCATTTCTCCGCCCTTGGGAAGACTTGAAACGAGTGGGGGAGGGGTTTGCCAGCATTTGACCCTTTGTGCTGCGACCTTTCGCAAGCTTGCGCTGCTCAATGCCTCAGATTTTCCTGCAGGCGAAGAAACGTTTTAACCGAAGCGCTTAATCTCAGAGCCTGCTTCCAGGCTACGTTGAAGATCGCGTAAGTAGAAAGAAAAGTTGGAAAAATTATATCTCTTGTAAAGAGAAAAAATTAGACTTGATTTTTCATTTGAACTTTTCCCTGAGCACTTCTCTTTCCATAGAGCACGTAAGACACAGAAGGGCTCTGGGGCCGAGAGTGTGCTCGTGGTGCTAGATGAGAGTGAACACGCATGCGTTGTAAGAAAAGAACGACGACAGTCATGGAGGATTGTTAAAGCTAGATTAGTCATTTCAAGCTGATCAGCAGCAGCGCATCTTAGGTCAACAGACATTTAAACAATTTTTATTGATTGACAGTTCTTGGAATTATTATACCATAGAACTGGCTGATTTTTCATAGACGTTGCATGCACTAAATGATCGCATTAGTCAGAGGGACTGTGTGTAGTGGGTTCTAAGGCATATTTCAGACGTGCAACAGTTACAGGGTCACTCTGGTCCGGGCTTCTGTTGGAATCTACTAAATTTACACACTCACAGACCATCAAAGCGCAAAATATGAATTAATATCAGACCAAGACGATAAGTTTCAAACAATTCCAGCGCAGCCGGGTACCTCATAGAAGTGGTAAGCACTCGAGGTAAGGTGTTTTGCTAACAGACATGTATGGTAAAGCTGCGGAAATCTCTGGTATGACTGTGACCAGGGATGTGTGTTATAAATGTGTTATTCGGCGGTTTAACTGGTTGACTCTGTAGTATGGCGGAGAGACTGTACAGGCAATATCAATGCATCAAAGTGTGGCGGATGAAAATGTTTAGCAGCTAGAGGGGAGAATTAACTGTCAGATCTTGGAGATTAAAGGGTTAAACTTCCCTCAGAGTTATGAAAATTATACCCTTCATTGGACAGAAGAGAATCAACTTTACCTCTTGAGCTTCTTCTGCATTTTGCAATTCACTTCGTAGCTTCTTATTGTGGCTTTCAAGGGATATATTTTCCTCTGACAAAGCCGTCAACTGGTTCTCTAAATCCTGCGTAAAAAATCATGGCTTTCAGCTCAAACTCACAGACGAAACAATTTACTGTCGTTAGCAAGGCCATGGACAATATTTTTACCTTGAGGCTTCCTTCAGCTTTCGTCAGCTTCTCTTGCGCGACAATGATGCTCTCTTCCAGTGCTTCTTTTTCCTTCGATGCAGTCTCAAGTTTTTCAGTTAAATCCTACAACCAAACAGAAACAAATCTCAGTCTGGAGGCAGTAGTTGCTTTTCACACAAGATACGGCCACACTAGATAATAAAAGCCGTTACCTAGCAGTGGAGGCAGGGGATAATGGGTTTTATCCACGCTTAATGCACACATTTATTTTCCAACAGATCAGAATGGAGCGAGTGAGTGACTGAGTGACTGAATTTTAGGTCCATACTTTAACCTCATAGCACGACAGACGTCATACCATGAGGTAAAAAAGTACTCTTCCTATGACGTCTGAAGTCCCTGATCGGTGTAGTAATTCTGATTGACAGCTACTCGGTTTTACATTCCCGCGCAAGTGATAACCAATCACAGACCTCACACAACTCCTGTGTAGCTACGTCATCATGAAACGTTTGCTTATATAACACATGAAGATATAAATCCGTATTTGCGAATCGTACCTTCATTTTCTGTTCATACGCTTGAACTTTCTCTTCAAAGGTTTCAGAAACGTTTTCAGCGGCAGTCGCCTGCTCTTGGAAGACGGCGAGCTTCATTTCAAGTTCCTGAATCATACAGAACATAAAATATATTATCCAAATGGAAATTCCAGTTTTTTTACCCACATTACGGCATATGCCGAAGGAACAGAATCATCTGTAACACTGCGACATAACGTGACAGAATAAGATCAGACACTACGGCATCAGAGGGTTTAAAGCAAGAATATTGCTGTGGGAGAATGGTAACAGGAAATACTTTCCACTCCTGATTAACATATACTTTAGGTCATCGAACGTACTGGCCGTAGAGTTCTCTGAACTCCGAAGCCAAGTTAAGACCTTATCATGGTTTTTCGGGTTTGAAATTGCACATACTAACCCAACAATACTAACACCATGTCTGTCAAAACATACTTGACCTACTCAACGACTCTCTTAACCCCTAACTACCTAACATCAGTAAGCAAAGTCTCCATACTATCCTCTACACATTTCCTAAGGTGCCGATAAGGAGAATTTGTTTGACAATCAGAAGATTCCTAAATTAATGATCATTTCTCTTATTTCATGACCTTTACATTTGATTCAAGGGTGATACTGTGAGGAGAAATTAGACGCCAATCACTCTAAGGGGTCAACGGTTAAAAGCTAATTGTAGAACAAATCGCTTCAGGCATTCAATTCACCATACATTCTTTACACTGTTGGACACCTCCAATAGAAAAATTATTCGCGTAACCCTTATGAACAGGCTTCCTCGGCTGAATGAAAAGACAGATGACACCCTTTGTCGACCAAAGCAAGAAACTGCTTGTTATCTCAGCACATTATCTTCTGATTTAGATCTTAAGTCTCAAACCATCTTCACCCATTACCCAGCAAACAAGTAATGAGAATACACAAAATCATCACAAATAGTGTTATCTGGATAACACCAGATCGAACTCCCTCTTCTTTTTCATATGAAAACGTATAGCAGCTAGAAGAGAGAATTGCAGTTCTGATCGTGACAGTTAACTGGTTACATTGAAGAGTTACGAGTGAGTCATACTGACCTGTTTTTCTTGTAGTGCTCCGTGAAGTTCATCTTCCATCTCCGTAGCTTTACTTTGTATTAATCTCAATTCTTCTTCTTTCTGCAACAAGCACTGCTCCAGCTCCTGCGAGATTATTCAATCGGAAAAGATCAGGAAGCACTAATTATTACATGAATAACATGGGCGAAAAAGTACCTAGCAGTTCTCCAAGCTGGCCTCCCACAACGCGTCGCAATTTTATCCAAGTTTATACGCAAAATTTTTCTTTCCACCACTTTCACTTAGTTCCATTCCTACAGTTGTGGTTAGAAATGATGTCTTGACTTGCGGTTAATTCCCTCTATGGTTTATGGCAAAGCAAATGGCCACATCATCTCCCGAAGAATTAAACAACGCAACTAGACTTACACAATGTCGACGAAATTCTATGGTCAATAGTGGCCTTTGTTTGTGATCACAACATGGTCAATTTAAAATGCCTTACAAAGACTACAGTGTGAATTTCATCGCGACTACAAATCATTTTCAAGGTTAAATAATAATATCTGATTGATAAACGTTCAATTTGAAGGAGAAGTACACGACGAGCGGCGTGTTTCTCTGCACATTCGGTTGCCATAGAATTGAACAGTCCAGATACTAATCAAAAAGATTTTAAAATGCTGTATTATTTATAAATCAGCCGTTCAACAAATCTGGTTCTTGAACACTGAATGATCAGTTGACCACTACTCTCATCCGGACAATTAAACCATACGATCAACCTGGGGGGGGGATCCAGGATTAAACAAGGGGGGTTCGGAGAATTGTCCCCCTTATAGAGGGGTCCAAGAGCATGCTCCCCAGGAGATTTTAAAAAATTAGGTCTTCGAAAACATGACTTCCAGCGTTTTGAGGGATATTTCGGAGATTCGACTAAACCAATCCTGGATCCGCCCTAGATCAACTACTAATCTTAGGTTGAAACCGTTTCCTGCAACAACTTTTTTTTATGTTTTTACCACGCTAGCGGCAAATCAATTAACATTGTGCATTAGCAATTACGTTTCTCTTTTCCTCCACTTTTTGCCTCATAAAGACTCTGCTAGAATCAAAGGTGAAAAAATTACTAGCGACGCTATCACCGGTTACCTTGTTCATGCTCTCTCCGTTTCTCGTCATCTCCTCCAAAGACAAAATCTTACTCTGTAAATGTTCTTGATTCTGATTGCTTTCCTGAAGACTTCTGTTTTGTTCCTAGTTGTAGGAAATATGTTAGTGTCACTCAAACGAGAGCCAACAGTAGCCCAAGAAATGTCTCTATTGTAGTGGTAACACACACTAAATAAATCAATATGCAGAAACTGTGAAAAAAATGTTTTTTAGAGGTCCGTATGGGTCCATATGTCCGTATGTCCGTATGTCCGTATGTCCGTATTTTTTTTAGAGGTCCGTATGGGAAAAAAATTGTACTTAAAACCTAGGGCACATTATTTATTTTAACAGACCGAACTATATCAGTAAATACCTTTCTTTTCTTTTTTTTTCTGCTTTTTCACCCTTTTTCCGCTTTGCCGCGAACGGCACGTAGCGAAATTCCGGACCGAGGTCCGCATACTTAAATTAAGAATTAGTTCATGCTTAGCGAGCGTATATCGAGTTATGGATGCACGCGGAAAGTTTGGAGAGCACGAAAAATACGTAAGAGCAACTCTAGCTTTTTGAGTGCTCTCCAAACTTCCCAAATGCATCCATAACTCGATATACGCACAGCTAAAAGCATGAGCAAATTCTTTTATAACAGAGCGACAATGAACAAAAAATGCTCACGTCAACTTAATTACGCACGGGCGTGCGTAAATAAAGATTTTGTTCGTAGCGGCTCAATAAGACTTACATAGGGCAAGCACGCGCGCTATGTTATAAAGTTGGATTGGTTACGAGCACGTGATTAGCCAATCAGGTTCGAAGATTTAAGATTCCTGCCAGTTGAGATGTTTAAGAAAAAATAATAACAATCATCTCACTTGATATTTGCTCTCCGTATCATGGAGCATTTTCTCTAAGCTCTCCACCATGCCTTGAAGCTTGCTATCCTCTGATGAGGAACTCTTAATCTGCTCCCAGAGTTCCTGAAAAATTAAAAAGAAGAGAGAATGAATAAATTATTACATAAATACGTAAAGCCCTGTTTTTTCAAAAATAAAAACAACTTCGCCATATTTGCTTGGTCAAAAATGTTTTTTAACACTTCTGATGCGTTCTGAAATTTTCCAGTGTATCAACAAAAAGACTACTTTACAGTTTCAACGTTTCTTAAAAATCTTAAGCAGTAATGCTAGGGTTTTTCTAACGTTTACTGCGCGAAAATGATCGCAAGCTCGTCGTCACCAGAAACATTCTCGGCATTACAAGTTCCTAAGTTCAAAATGTTAATTCTTCTGAGTGACTCAGTACATTTCTTGTGATGCACATGTGAGAATTGAAATGTGTAAAACGCACTAAGCTGATCTTTGCATTCATCTACACCTCATGTCTAATGGAAATTGTATCAACATTTTACTTAAGGGGAATGTTATTTCAGTTCTGATTATGTAACAATTTACTGAAACAAACCTGCTTTTCCTTTTCTGAGGTTTGCAAAGACTCCTTTAACAAAGCCATTTCATTTTCCATTCCATTTTTTTCCTCCGACATCGAATTCAATCTGTCTTGCAACATGTTTCGATCATTTTCAGCCGATGAAATTTTCTCTTCCAAAACTGAAAGGTTACTGAGCAGATCTTTCTTTTCCTGCTCGATTCTCTCCAGTCTGTTGTTCAACTCCTGGGAGACAAAACAAAAATACAACTAGGAAAAATAAAAAGAACCTCTCAAAATTTTGGGAACCAAACTGGCACAGTAGCGAGAGCTCTCACTAAGCACCGGGAAACGAGAGTGACCAAGTCACGACTGGGATAAGATTTGCATCTGATTGGTTGAGGAGACGGCGAAAGTTCTATCGACCAATCAAAAGACAGAAAAAAAAAAAAGCAATCATAGATCGCTTTCGACACTACGTTGAATACTACTCTTCTTTGGCGTCTATCTGTCAAAGCTAACTACCCTTTAAAACTTCAAATTCCCTTACAAGAGCGAGATGTTTTCTATTTACACCAGAATCTAAAAGGCTTCAATTCACTTCTTCCATACCTGCTTTTCTGTTTCTGAGGATTCCATCAAGGATGACAGCTTGTTTTCGATTTCAGCTTTTTCTTCTGTGACTACTTCTATTTTATCTTGGAATACTTTCATTTCGTTGTCAGCAAAGGAAACACTATCCTCCAAACTTAGAAGTCTAGTCCGCAAATTATTCTTCTCTTGAGTGACGTTATCCAATCCGTAGCTTAATTCCTGTCACGAGAAAAAAAAATAATGTAAAACAGGTCTTGACGTCATTAGGTCCTTGTGATTGCTTTCCTTTTGGTTTTACGACACTCGATTGAAATGCACCCCGAAAAAACCACGCACCGAGCGTAAAGGACGACAAAGAAGATCGGATCTAATACTCTGATCACACTGCTGGCAGATGGAAGGGCGACGTGTAGGCTTAGCACCAGGCTCAGAAACGCGCGGAAACCCTACGATTAGTTTTTTTCAAGCTTCTTAACCTAACTGCATGTATAATAATGGTAAAAGGACTGAGTGAAGTCCACTTCCATCTGTAATCGTACGAGTGATTTACGAAATCGAGCGACCAAGAAGCGGGAGTCTGATTTGTTTAACAGACAGAATTAAACGACACGAAGTCCTGTTATCGATTAATCAAAACTGTAACAAAATCTGAGGAACATACTTCTAACCATAAGTTAAACGTTTGCATAAAAAAACAATTAACTGAACGAAATGCTCGTAACAGCGTACGCACATAACGCGTACTGTCCATTTACAAAGACACGACGTGTCAACTATCCTATTACATTGTTCAATTACAAGCGTAACGCGTACACTGTCCAATTCGTGCTCAAATCGAGCTGATGATAACCAACCGCGTTTGAGAATTTTGTGATATTTTTTATAATGATGAGAATTCTGAAGCAGAGATTTTAAATATGGATCCTCAAAAATTCCTAACAAACCTCCTTTTCCTTAAGCTCGACTTGAAGGTTCTCTTTCAACTGCGACAGTTCGTTCCTCACTGACTCCAATTCTTCTTTAGTGTCAGTAATTTCCTTATTAAGTGCGATCTTTCCCTCGTCTGCCTCCTTTAAATGATTTTCGAACGACTCTGCTTTGATCTTATGTTCATCTCTCTCCTGAGACATATTCTTTAACTGTTCTTGCAAATCCTTAAAAAAATATATTCATAAAACCTTGATGTTATTCCAAAAAAATAAGACTAATCAAGATCAGTGGTAAACTTACCAGACGTGTTTCAAAATGAATAGCAGACGCGATGGTTTTAAGGTTGGCGCACTGAACTTATTAAGAGTTCGGGAGTGTGGGTATCGACAGAGAAGAGAATCAGACAAAATGCTAAAGGAATTGAGGAGGAACCAGCCATGAGCTAACATCTAATCGAGAAAAGTAATGACACTCCTAATCGCTTGATGCTAAAGCTACCACGAAAAGCTACAAAGATTTTCCTTCTTCCAATAATTCCTCACTTGATATTGCTGTGACAACAGATTGTGTTCCTCTTTAGTACTGTCCAATGCCTTACGTAACTTTTCCTTTTCTGCGACGAGTTTCTCAGTCTTCTTCACATTTTCCTACACAGATCAACAATTTGGCTCATTTTTATAGAGAACGACATATTTGTAGCATGTACTCCCCACAGTATATACGCCTCGAGCAACTCTTACGCATCTTTCGTGCTCTCCAAACTTCCCGCGTGCTTCATATCTCGATGAACGCACAGCTAACGTATGAACCAATTGTTTTATAACATTTTCAACCCGATGGAAAATCTTTTTCTCCAGGGATTTGTTTGTTGACGTCATGAGCGTGCACAATTGGAATATGAAGCACGCTTGCGCAATTGAATTTGATTCGACAAATTTACTAGCTATGTTATAACAGAGGATGAAAGCCTGTGTATGAAGCAATTAACCCTTGGCTCCCTGACATGGATATCAATATTCTCCACACTTTTCTATATACATTTCCTATGGTGCTGACAAGGAGAATTTGTTAAACGATCAAGAGCTTCTCTAGTTGGCGATCATTTCCTTTATTCTCGTGACTTAACTGTATGATTCAGTAATGATACTCTAAGGAGAAATTAGATGCCGATCACTCGAACTGGGGAGGTACAACCTTAAACGCTTGTGTGAAGACTTTTACTAGCTTAGATGGCTCACTCACCTTGGTGCCTTTACCACAGGAGACAAAATTTTCCTCCCACTGCTTCTTCAGTGCATCATAAGCACTCTGAACTTTGTTTCTTTCGCTCTGTGCAAACTGCAGTTGTTTCTGTCCATCCTTGTAAAGAGTTTTATGAAATTATTGCAAGATTTTTCCAAAAGTTAGCAAAACCCTATCAGCTTCGCCGAACACAGTGACAACAGTTTTTGCATTCAAAATAAAAAAACATACTTTGTTTACGTCCTGTGCTGTTTTGAGATCCTTGTCCTTTTTCTTCAGTTCCACCTTAAGTTTTTTCTCCAGTTCAACGGCTGTTTCAACTTGTTTCTTAAGTTCCTGAAACACACGAGTAGATAACACTTGAAATAAAACTGTGATTCACCGTGTTTTGCTTAAACAACAAATATCTATGTTCTAAGTTAAACCCGGGAAAACGCGAGCGACCAAGTCAACGAGTTGTTTTCCTTTTGCGCCTGATTGGTTTACAGGATGGCGCGAGTTTTGTACTGAGACCAATCACATATTGAAGTAAAGGAAAACCTAAGCTATCCCGGATTACACTCGACGTTCCATTGAAAAAAATTGCTTTAAAAGCTAACCTGGTTTGCTAAGAAATTAACTTTAACTTCTTCTTTCAAGTCTTGGATGAGGTTGCCTCTCTTGGAATTTTCCGCCACAGTTGCATCAAACTTTTCCCTCAGAACAGTGAGCGTTTTCACCAGCTTCGTCCTCTCTGCTGTTAGTTCCTCTATTTGTTTGGTGAGCTGTAAAAAAAAAAGCCAAGTATAATCTAATGTAATGGCACACAATTTACTATTTTTGTAATCACATCAACAAGAGATACATTTGTAACATGTGACAATATCATTTTTTTTAAGAATGTTAGTCAATAAAGTTTTAGTTTTTTAGAGTTAAAGTCTTTGTCAAAATTACAGCTGTGACATTCAATTGGTTGAGGCATCGAAATTGGTTGAGACATGATATCTAGGACTTTGTTCCATAAGGGGCTCAGGAAAGCTCAGTAATGAGAAAACGTATAGCAACTCCTCTGAACATATTCCTAAAGACCTATTGATTATATTAACTTAGCCATGGAGCAGAAGAAGAACGACCGCACTAAACTGATAGATAGAAACTGAGCAAGCTCAATTCCAAGCGCTCTTCTTGAGTCTTGCAGTCTATAACTTCACGGCAAATCTGACCAATCAGTGTCAACGAGCCAGACCGCGCATCACATTCGATTGACAAACCACCTTCAACTGACTATACTGATGACTTCCGCTCTGGTTATGTAGAGCCATACTCACGTCCGCTAAAATAGTCCTTTTCAAAACTACGTTAATCCCGACGATCAGACAATACGATCTCAAAATCACTCCTAGCGGCATTTCATTACACACCACCTTACCTTTGCCTGTTCGTCACTTGGCTGTTTTGTTGATTCTGAAGTGGTCTGTGTACGTTCTGCTGCAATGTTTTGTGGACTCTCAATAGCTGAATTTAGATCCTCGAGTTGGCCTTTTAGCCCCTTAGTAACCAAAAATAAAATTCCTTAGGGTACAACTTCCAACACAAAGTTAACTGAAAACGTGTGATTCGGTTTCTTAATTTTTTTTTTTTTATCATTATCATCATACAGCACGCGCTGGGTTTTTGCAGAAAGTGTCAGTAGTGTTCCCCTTTTCAGGCGGTAATCGGTAAAATTTACCGCCTGCTGTTCCTCTTACTACCGCCTAACATCGATTGGAATTCTTGAACATTCAACTGGAAAAACGATTGCTCGAACGGTTTGAAATTCCTTTTTAACTGATTTACCTCTGGTGCTTAAAATAAGAGAGAACACTGAGCATGACTTGGTTTACCTGGTTTTCTTGTATTATCTTGTTGTGTTCTTCTTGGAGAGACTTGAGTGACAGACTGAGTTCATCCTTCTCAAATACAACATTTTCCAATTGTTTCTTTGCAGCCTACAAAAAATAAACGAATTGTTAGGAAAATTCAAAATAAAATGACATTAGCTTACAATAAAAATACTGAAGACTGAGACTTATCCCCTTGCATCTGTCTCATAAGTTATTCAGGGGAACGAAAATAAGAGAAGAGAACGCGAACAGTATGCGCGGAGAACGCGAAGAGCGCGTCACACTCTTTGCATTCGCCTCGTGCATGCTCACAACAGCCTGAAAACGTAACAAAATGAGGCCTGTTTTGAAGGTTACATTAACCCTTATTCCTTAACATTGGTATTAATATTCTCCACACCGTTCTTTTGACATTTGCTATGATGCTGACAAGGAGAATTTGTTTGACAATCAGGAGCTTCCTTAATTGTTGATCATATTTCTTTTATTCTCATGAACTTGACATTTGATTTAAGAGTGATACTGTAAAGAGAAATTAGAGACCAGTCTCTTACGAGCGTTACAGGGTTAAAAGCAACCACGCTTACCTCGTGATTTTCTGAAACAGATCTGTATTGCTGCTGAAGACCGGTGATTGAATCTTTCAGCACTTCATTCTCAACAAAGAGTTTCTCAAATTCATCTGTCGTTTCCTTTGAATACAGATATAAACAATGTTTAAAATGACGCTACCAACAACAACAAAATTTGTCACTGCGCTGCACTGTTGGAATCATATACCTTGTTCTTTTTTTCCAATAGCTGTAATTCTCTTCTGCAGTCATTCAAAGCTGTTTCAATGTCTTCCTTCTCGATCTTAATCACTGAAAGTGTTTTTCTCAGGTCCTTCAAAAGAAAATAAAAGCATGTTACTATTAACATTTGATATTAAGCCGTGGTATGAAGCCGAAAATTTTTTTTTTAAAGTAATATAAATAACCAGTACCTTTACTGACATCTTACTCAAGTCTTCCTGAGAGGAACTCATTTCTTTCAGTTTATTTTTCAGCCTCTGTACAATTGACAGTCAATAAGGCAATAAAATTAATCATTTCTATTGATAAAACTCCGGCGTTAGCGTGCTAAACTATACACTGCAATTCTCGTCGCAAATTTAAGAAACATTTTCCCTAAAACTTCGTCAGTGTTGTTAAGAAGGCAATAGAACGCATAAAAAATATCAACACCGAAAGAGAAGCAAGGTGTGTCAACAAAACTAGATAACGGATGTAGTTACACACCGGACAAGCGTTCTGCATACTACAATGATTAACATGTAACTTCTCCGTGTAATACCCTTACATTGTCCAGAAAACAGGTAATGGGAATACTCAAACTCATCAGGTTGAAGTTGTCATCTTGATCTAACACCAAATTCTCATAGCCGATTTACAAGGAAATGTGTAGCAGCTAGAGGGGAGAATTAACAATCAGATCTTGGGAGTTAAAGGGTTAAAGTTTGTTGGAAAGTCACATCTCCTATAACTTGCATAAAATTATAACTAAGATACCTACGTCATGACTAGCTTTAAGTGTTTTTAGTGATTTCAGCGCTTTTTCTTTCTCTGCTTTCAGCTTGTTGATCTGATCCCCAAGTTCCTAAAAATTAATCGCGGATGCCGTTAATCACTAGAATCCAAACTTCGATTTCCCGGCAGCTTTAGCTACTATAGGCAAAACAAACCTGAAGCTAATTAGTTGAATATAAGTTGACAATCTGAATATTCCTTCCACTTGAAGCAAACTGACGTGCACCAACCACATTAAGAAATATTTGGACATTTTTCGCCGGATATGTTGGTGTTCTATTGAGGATATTCCTCAATATTTCATCAGGTCTCCCCAAAATTTTTTTCCTGGCCCGGTGCGTAGTAATACCGTGAATGTGTAGTGCTCCACCAAGAAACATAACTCAACAACTCCGGCTAGGGCCCTGTTTTCAGAAAGTTGCAATGGTCACTGGTAAAGAAACGTTTTTTTGTGCTTGCTGTGCTTAAATTCAAGATCAAATTATTATTTGTTTCAAAACTCAGCTTGGGGGAAAAATACCGGCATCACTGAAATTCCCCATTCCACCTTTTTTACGAACATACCTTAACGTAAAACTTGTTCTCTTCACACTCTTTAACAGCTGTCTCTAAATTTTCCTCAATATCCTGAGAAATAAAATGCCCCCCTCAGTTTTTTACACAATCATATTCTCATGAAATTAGCTTTCAAGCAGGTCCTCATTATCAGCGCTGCGAAACGCGCGTTTCCCTACCTGCGGAAATATTTGAGACCAGGAGAGGAGAGAGGTTTGCCGGGGGTCTGGCCCTAATAATGAGGTGCCAGACGCCTTGTTGACCTCTCGCTGACTCGCGTTGCTCAAGGCCTCGTACTTTCCCGCGGGCGAAGAAACGCTCGTGCCGAAGCAACGATCGTGCCGAAGCAACGCTTGTGCCGAAGCAACGCTCGTGCCGAAGCAACGCTCGTGCCGAAACAACGCTCGTGCCGAAGCAACGATCGTGCCGAAGCACTAATAATGAGGGCTCGCTCGCAAGCGATACGAAATTGATTGAGACCGGACCAGAAACATTTTTCGTGATTTTAACTAAAGTTATCGAATACTTCATTTCTTTTTTTCTTTTGTATTAGTCAAGTTATCTTGGGTTAACAAAAATGTGAAAATATTGACCTTTTTGGCAGATGGAAATCATTTACATGTACATTACCGTTCTCGTAATTACAAAATATGAAGATTCCACCGTTAGTAATAAAACATCAATAGCAAAAATGAGATGACTGATTAAATTAGTAACTGTTAATAGTGTTAAAAGATTGAAAGTTTTATGCATTATGTTAGATCTATGAAGCAGTAGACCTATATTAAAAGCACCATGCACGTGATAGACGTACCATCAATGTATTAATATCTCTGTTATTAATGTAACTGAAAGTGACTTTATAACTTTTCAACCATGCAATACAGATGTCAGGCAAGTCATGCAGCTGAGGATAATAGTTGAGACTGTGGTTTTTGAAATTTAACAGTCTAGTCAAATTTTCGGTCCAAATTGTCACAGCACAGAAAGGGTTCAAAAAAGTGATGAACTTGCGAGTCATTTAACTAAACTAACAGTTTCTCACAAGTAGTTATAGTACCGCTCTGACGAAGGGTTAACGCTCACAACGTCAGCTTTAAAGCTCTTTACGGTGGCCAATTTGCGTTATCAACTAAGTTGATAATACTAAATTACCCTGTTATACTCTCCCACCGACGCAGCACCAGTTTCTTTAGAAACTTACCCACTTCGTTCAAAAGTACGTTAACAGTCCCTCGAAAATCGAAAAATCTTTGTGTGTCTCGATCCTCAAAAAGTTTGGACGATCGATGATCACGGTTCGAGTCGAGACTCTAATACTACAACACCCGATTAGCTAATAACTACAGCTAACAACAGGCAATTTTTAATAGAAAAGTTTACACAACAAATCTGGACCCTCAGCTGCCAAACAAGCCTTAACCATCCCTTGAAAAGAAACTCAGACAGCTGCATACCCTTGCAGCAGCTTCCCGACCCTCATACTCTGTACGCATGGTAACCAGCGCATTCCTAAGGTGCTCCACTTCTATTCTAGAATGTTCCAGATCGCTTCTCAGCAGCTAGAGCAATTTAAATGTAAGACAAGTCAAGAGAAAATGGCATCAAGAAGGATGAGCTTGAATAAAAGAACTGCAAAAGGTTAAGTAACACAAATGTTTTTATTATATCCCTCAATTTCCACGTGAGCAATGATTGGTCAATTTCACTGTACGGCCCTCCAAATTAACCCTTTAGCTCCCAGATCAAATTTGCCATTCTCCTTACTGTCAACCATACAATTCTTATTATGTTAGTTCAGAGAATTTAGTATTGGATCAACTTATTATCCCCCAATTGATATTTTTCTTCATTCTCATCACTTATTTGGTTGATATTGAATTAATACTGTAAGGAGAAATTCTGTCTTGGTCACTTATGGGAGTTAAAGAGTTAAAAAATTTGTTTGAGTTGAAATCTTTTCCCTCTATTTGAACCCACAGATTTAATAAATATATATCTTATTAACCTCGTTTTCTTGTCCGTACTGTAAGTTACGGAGCCTCGTTCTTATGGACCGCGCACTTTACGCTTGGGCCATAAGTCCGTGTATAAAAAACTTGGTACCCAACCTACAGTACAGACCTCGTACTTGGCTTCTGAGAGGTACCAGACTCTCGCAACTAATATTGAGTCAGTTAATTTAAAATGAATGCAGAGGTTTACTTGCTGTCCCTGAGTCTTTATCAACGCCCTAGCCTCAAACTTCTGTCTACCAAGAAGTCTCCTTAAACTTCAATTTTAATTTAAATTAGGCCAGATTCCAACCCGGAAATTCACTGACGTCCTTCTTACAAATGACTGCTTTCCCAAGTAAAACTTGCCTAACTCTTTATCTCACTCGAAGCATCATCATAACTCTTAATTAACTCCAAATAACAAATAAAGGGCTACACAGGAAAAAAAGGAAGCATCAAGGGACTTTTGATGCAAGGCCAACTTCTCCTTGTGCTTCAAAAGGGAACAAAAGAAAATTCGGACAGAGAATCAAGCGTTTTATCCAGTGTCGAAAATTCCAACGAAAATTGATTCTCAAGTGGTAAATGGAAGAAGAGAGACCATCGCGGACACATTTCCTTATTGATCATCTGATTACTGGAGGTAATCAATTTGAAATTATCCTTACAATAATCACTGGTGAGATAAGCAAGACGATTTTCGAGATTCCATGACATTGACTTAAGGATAATGCAACTTCTGCTGGTGCACTTTAGCACCACCCAGTCAAGAAGAAGGCCAAGGATCACCCATTTTAACCAAATGATGCAAACCAACTACCCAGAGAAAGCGCAAGGGAAAAGACCTCCTGCTGCCTTTCAACTGACACTTCAAAAACCCCTTTACTTGAAGCTCCTTGATACCAATCACACAGACTAGCAAGGATTGTGTATTTACCATTCATAAATACGCAATCCTTGTATTGCATAAACTAGTAACAAGAAAACACCATGGACAGTGGTGTCTAACCTCATTCTTGTGTTTAAGGTCTTCACTTTCCATCAAAGAATGTTCTCTGATAACTTGACCCATGCTCTCCCTTCCAAGATCTGCTCCCCTCTCCTGCACAAGGCAACTGAATCTGCTTTGAAGTTCATTTCTTTCTGCAACAAGTTTCTCTACTTGATCTTTCAGATCCTAACAAAGGGTATTAAGGTACATAACATCAACATGATATTAATAAACTATTAACCTGTAAGAGACATAGATTGATCTTCTACTTTTATTTACAGCAACCACCCTGGCATGGAGAGAGGTTGATACCATAACTGTTGATACAAATCCCCATTTCAACAGCCTATATATGTAGCATTTAACCCTTTACACCCCAACATCAGTAGGCATATTCTCCATACTGTTCTCTATACATTTCCTGAGGTGCTGACAAGGAGAATTTGTCTATCAATCAATAGCTTCCTTTGTTGATGATCATTTCCTTTTTTCTCCTGACCTTAATGTTTGATTCAAGTATGATACTGTAAGGAGAAATTAGAAACCAGTCACTCTGATGGTTTAAAGGGTTTAAGTGACCAAAAAAGGACTAGCATCTCATCAAGGAGAGAAGACACACACCAAGTTGTTTCCTGTAACAGAAACCAGGCATAGCACTTGTACAAGCATACTGTCTAATGTGTGGGAAAATGCTGGCAAGCAAGTTGTGGTTTGTTAAGTTTTGCATCTGGTTGGTCAAGAAGATGACAAGACCAATCACAAGGAAAAGTCAAGCAAAACCAATTTGAGTACAAATAACTTTTGCCCCTGAATTAAAAATTGCTTTAACATACTTGTATGTGTTGCTCTTGTCTCTCAGTATGGGAATCACAGGATGACTCAACAGCTCTAATAAGCTCCTCCTTTTCTTTCATCAGCTTGTCTACTTTGGCTTGAAGCTATGGTACAAAGGTTGAACAAAAAGTAAGAAACATTTCTGAGCACTAAACGATGACCTTTGGGAGTTGTGGTGGCCTGATGGTCAGTACACTGGACTCCAGGCTGAGAGGTCTGAGTTCAAAACCTGGCCAGGTCAATGTGTTGTGTTCTTGTGTAATACACTTTCCTCTCACTCTCTACCCAGGAGTATAAATGGGTACTGGCAAATTGTCAGGGAAGCCTGATGAAATGCTGGGGGTTACCTTGTGATGGACTACCATCCCTTCCAGGGGGGAGTAGCAATATTCCTAGTTGCTTCATGCTACATAGAAAACGGTCTAAGCTCAGTCTGGCTGGGCCAACAGGCTCCAGTACAGACTTTATCTTTAAACAATGACTTGCTACAAGCAGTACCTACATATGTAGTTACTTGATACAGATGAGAGAGCAGTTTCATTAGCTAATGGTCACTGTGCCGCCTAGCTTGTATTTCCTAAAAACTGTTGTCCACTTCAAAAATGCACTCTCTAAACATTACAAAAACCTCAAATTTATTTCTTTCTGAAGCTTGTATGAGGAGCCATTAAGTTGTTTACTAAAACCACAAATTTATTTCTTTCTGAAGCTTGTATGAGGAGTCATTAAGTTGTTGAAACAAAGTAATGAATACCTGATTATTATTACCACCTCTCAAAAGGTGCTGAATATTTTAGAGCAGAGTGTTCATACAACAGTCTCACCTCTTTTGTCAATGCCAATGATTCTGAATCTTCACTTCTCACAGATGCCTGGTTGTTTAGCAATCCAATCTTATCTTCCAGCTCCTACAACCACAAAATCAGCAATGTGTAGGTGAGGAGAAAAACTGTCAAGACATTACATGTATTATTTTTCTTCAAAAAGGTACATTCAAAGTTAGCAAAAGAAAGTTCTTACCTTGCAGTTTTCTAAAAGATTACGGTTGTCTTGTTCAAATTTGACAAGGGTTTCCTGTGTTTTTTCTTTCTCTTGCTGAAGTTCCTATAGGGATTTACAGAAATATATGACAGCAGAGTTAAGGAGAAAAGGTATGTATGGGATTCATGATGGTCAAGAGGAAGGTGTAGTGTACTCTTGATCAAATGGTAGGGATTCAGCACCTGGTAAGGTGTTCCTAAGGTGCTATTGGTGAAACACCTTCTCTCAAAAATTCCTCTTTCTTCCCAGGAGTACTGATTGCTGTGGTAAAGTCACCACTTGAGCCATAAATTCAAGCAGAAAAAGCTAGGTCCTAAATTTACAGAACCAACCTCAAACTTGGTTAGTTAGAGATGTATATTAATCACCAATAGTTTACATAATTTAGAAAAAATCAATACCTGAATCTTCTCTAGCAAGGATTGATTATCTTTCTGCAGTTGTTCTTGTGCTTTGTCTTCTTGAATAGCTTGTAGTTCCAGAGCATTTTTGTATTCCTAGAGTTTATCACACATTGATCAGGGTATGATAAATACCATAAGGCAAACACTTTACACAACATAAGAAAATTTATACATACCACTTGTCACTATTTTGGGCTATCTGTATTTCAATTATAGTTTTTTTTCACAATTATTCTTATAAAAAAAGTCACAAAACTCTTGCTTTCTTCAACTTGCTATAAACTTACATCCTCTGTGAAACAAATCCCATAGAAGAATTTAAGTAAAAAAAATTTCAGACATTATATATTACTTGTTTACTTATTATTTCACTATTAAATGCACAGTAGCCTTTAGAGGCTTGCAAGAGGTACTACTGTACATATTAAATTGTTTATGTTATATTACTATTATGGTAGTACATACCATTGACTGTTTGACAACACTTTGATATTCTTCTTGTAAAACTTTAAGTGATTGCTGAAGTCCATCTCTCTCCATCACAACAGCTGACAACTCATTTTCAAGTTCCTTGAAAAATAATCCAATATTACATGCCAAATCTAATTGAAAAACTGTAAATGGTAAAATTGTAATAAAACCACATTCCTTTTCAGCACTTTTAACGATATAGAAAAGTTCATTGTTTATTTTTAACCATCTTTTAAGAAAATAAATCATTTATCCTTACTTCTTAACATTCAACACAAAATCACCTTCAGTTTTGAAATAAAACCATTGATATAACAGTGTTATGATTAATGGCTGTTTTAAGTTTGACTTAATTTAGAGCAATCATATTTAGCCATTTCAAAGCTCTGCAGTATTCAGATGACTTTTAACGCCAGTAACTCTATAGAGTGGTTGTAACATATTAATCACTTCTGAGAGTTTAAAGATCAATCTAAAGCAACCAGCTTACTTTAACTGTATTTTCATGTTCCTGCTCCAATTCATTGTACATTCCCCGCAAATCGTCATTTTCCTCAAGCATCTTTTTTCCAAGTTCGGCAGCCATTTTAAGTTCTTTATTTTTCTTTAGAATCTGATTTATCCACAGATGAAAGTTATAACAGTAAAACAGGCCATCAATTTTAATCATAAGATATTCAACGTTACCACTGTCAGTATTTAATACTGGTATTTGTTTCTCTTGATGTGTCTTTAATCTTGCTAATACACAGTAGCAATGATTGTTTTGTTAATTCAAGGTAAAAATTTGTATTTTGTATTTTGACCTTTTATTATCTCTTAAGGATGATTATTCCTTTTATGTTTGGTCGAGAGTCTTTAGCCAGAATATTAAACAGTGAAGTGCAAAGCTGTGCTCTAAGAGGAACAACTAAAGGCCTAAAGGCTCTGGTCTTGGAAATCTGGAATACATAGCTCTAATAAAGGTACTTCAAATAAAGTTATGCAAGTTGCAAAGAGGCAGACAACCATAATGTGCAGGTTTTGTCAGGGCATAGCCCTGAAAAGTTTGGCAAAAAAACAACCCCTTGTATATGTAAAGTTTCAGAGAAATGACATCAACCAGAGTTTCAAGAAGTATTGCAAACCACCCATTCCAGAAAAAAAAGACCAATGTGAAACTGCTTCTTAAAATAGCATAATGATTATAATTATAGTTTAAGGAAGTAATAAGACAACCAAACCATGCACTTAAAGTGATATGCCTCCCACACAAGGAAAATCCAATAACTGGAGGTATAATCAGCAAATAATTGGATCCATGTCTGTGTCTGAGCAAATGCACACCTAAGTCTCCTTTAAGAGAACATCATCCCTGACTAGTAACCAGTTGACTGTCTTTGGGTTCGGGGAGGGGTAGGTGCGCAATTGCTCACATTACTGACATTGATCCAATAGATTGTGGTACTTGAGGGATTGAAAAAAAAATCATTTTAAAAAACCTTGTCTTTTTTCTCAAACTCTGCATGCACTCCTCTCGATAACCAATCTCTCTTTTCATTTTCCAGTCTCTGCACCTCATTTTTCTCATCAGCTAATTGCGACGTCAACTCTACACAAGATAAATAAACATTGTTATGTTAGTGCTGCTGATACAGAATACTGAAGTTGTAGTAGTTTCTTTTGGTTTTAAAATGGTATACATCGCTTTAAAAAATTTTGCCTCCAAGTCAAATCTACAACCACAGAGGATTTTCTATAAGTTTAAAAGTTACACAGGAATGCTGCCAAAAAGAAAACAGTATGAAGTTATTTAACAATAAATATGAAAAATATAAAATTTTCACAACCAAAAGGTCATTGAAAGATCTGCTCATTAAAGGCATAAAATCATGGCCCTCTCCAATGTAAGACTTCATTTACCACCCCCGCAACTTTTGGAACTTTTCATCTTTGTACTGTTTTGTTCAAGTAATATCTCACAACAATCATTGCTCTGAGAGCTGCAATTTGAACTATAATTATATGCGAGGCAAACGAAAAATTTCAACTTTTTTGTTATTTTTCACTTTGGACACTTGTCAGTCTTTTCAGTTACCTCCTCCACACCTGTTAATGTCATTTATTGCATACCCCAGAAAATACCTTTAAAATGATATAAATTATAAGTGGTCTAATGGTCCATCATTCTCATTTTAAGAAAATTTAGCATTTTTTCTTAGGCAGTAAAGGGCTAGTTGAGACTTGTCTAAACCTAACCCTAACCCTGACCCTAACCTCATCCCCTTTTCCCTTGAAAGTGTATTAAATTTGATACTATAAGGAGGAACACTTTTTGGTCACTCCAAGGAGTCAGAGGATTCTAAAGAAGAAAATGAACCAGAATGATTGGGATTGATTAGACTTAAATAGTTATGATTTCATTTTTAAGCTTCAATTCATTACTAGTCAAAGAAATTGGAGGGGAAGAAGGGAGGATTTAAATAAAAATAAACTTCCACTCTACCGTCACACTTGGCTTTGGTTTGTTTTAACAGAGCAAGTTGTTTCCTGACGTATTTTATAAGGTCTTCTTTAGGGAGTGATTCAAGCTACAAAAACAATATCAACGAAAAACATTTTAAGTTAATGGCATTACTGTACAGATGATCACAGGCAGGCACAACATAGACAGCCCCCATCAAAGTGTATCTGTGGCGTGGAAAAAGTACCAAACCTTAGAGCACAACAGGGACACCAACCATTGAATCAAACCCTACAGCTAAAATATAATCATTCCATGTTGTCTACTTGCAGAGCTGGTATAAATTGAAGCCAAGAAAAGGCAGAAAACATTAGGTATGTATGCTTTTGAAGTCATAAAATTTCAAGAGTGCTCATGAACTTTTTCAGGACCTTTCTTGTACTTTCCTGACTTATCACCATGAAGATGGGTCCAAAATAATTTAACAGCACTGATCTAATGATAGAATTTTTTCCTTGTCATTTTTCTAAAACATTTCAAATTCAGTCATTTTGCATAACTTTCCATAATTTATACTCAAATACCACAACTTTTTGGATTTTCCATGACCTGAGCAAACCATGAAAAAGCATCCATATCTCTGGCTGGCAATGTGTGGAAATGAATAAAGACAGAGTGTGCAAGGGAGTTTGAAAATTGCATCTACCCAAGGAATGAAAAGTGAGGGGTATTTAAAAAATGCTTAGAGATGTGTACATGTAGTATGCATTCCTCATATTACACATTCTCTATCAAAATTTGGAGATGCGTCAAAGATATTTTGGGTAGAGTTCATCTGTATTGACACTTCCCTAAAATTATACCACGGGAAAAGCTTTAACTCCATACATCTGATTTGTAATTCTCTTTTGAGCCCTGCATACACTTTTAATTAGGAGAAATTGGTGTTTCATCAAGTTATCTTGTCTAAGCTGATAAGTGCAAATTACTGTATATCTATTTGCACTAGCTGTTTAATATACAAAGTATTAATTCTATAGAGAGAAGTTGATATATATTAATTGCATTAAGGAGTTAATTAAGGGTTGTAGAGTGTCACCTCATAGAATAGATGATTTCCAATGTTTTCTTTCTGAATAAATATTAAAAACATATATAGGACTAGGAGATGAACTTTGTTTGTTTTCAATAATAATAATAATAATAATAATAATAATAATGATGATGATGATGATAATATTTAACGAGGGAGCCCAACTCGCCACAGCAGTTTTCAGTGGTACCCTCATTTGTCTCACGATAGAGTCACTTTTGATGTTATCTTATAGGGATAGCCTCTTTCACTCTACATGTTTACCAGTGGGGGTCACAACTAATAAACTTTATCTTCTCCAAATAGGAATATGCCCCATTTCATTGGTGTACTCTTAAACTGCTCTCCACATAAAACTTCATCTCAACTACATCAATAGGAATAGCAGAATCCACATTCCAGAAGCTTAGATACCCACAATCAAACAACACAACAGCTGATTTATGATGACCTATGAGGGAACACCATCTAATAACCGGAATAACAATGAAGATCGAAATGCACCAATAACAGCATACCAACGTGTTACAAATAGTGACATGTAAACAATCGACCTCGTTGTCTGATGAAGACAGGCAGTATTGCATTCAAAATGTCGTGATTTACATCAAAAGTGACTCTATTGTGAGACAAACGAACAAAGTTCATCTCCTACCTTACACCATGATGAACAATAAGCACATATTTTATATATAGGACTATGTAGAATATGTTACCTGTGATTTTCCCTGTGATTTTGTTGGTGTTGTGTTTGATGTGGCTTCCTTTTTCATACCATTTGTAACACCAAGAGGGTCTGCATTATTCTATAAAGACAGAACAGTTTAAAAGGAAACCTGCAGATACCTTACCAGTTACAGCCCCATATTTGTGTTGTTAAAGTGTTTTTCTGATATATTTCTGCAAGCATGTGTACAATATTGGCTGAAATGCTTTGCACAGCTTTCATATTAATCTGCAATGATTTCTCAAGTTGAATACTCTACACTATTGCTAGCACAACTGTCCTTTTAATTCGCAAGAATGAGCCTTCAGATTGCATTAACCAACACACCAAAATCTTCCCCTTTATAACTTAGGGTAGAGCTGCTATATTCAGCAGAAAACTGTATCAATTGAACTAACCATGATGAAAAATTTGCTACCGATATGGCTTACTTGCTTTCGACTATATTTAAAAATACGTTATCAGGTTACGTTGAAAATCAATCCGACATAAACTGATAAATTTTTAAAAATACATTTATCTAATTGGGTCCTTTTGTCTGAGTACCGCTACACACGAGGAAAAGATTCATAAAGATTAGGTTAGAATTTGATTTCACAATAAACTCTCGAAAGCTAACAACATGGTATAGTCATTGTAAGAGATCAAACCATGAAAACTCGAGAAGCCAAATATTTGTCATAGAGAGGTATTCAAGCGCTTCTTTTCTTTATCAAAGACAAACAAGCAGTTCTCTACCTCTAGATTAAAAGTTCGCAAGAGGAAGTGGACATCAAAACGAAAGCAACAACAAGGATGATTTTTTTCTGATTAGTAAATTACCATTTGATAAACACCGTTTTACACCGCAGGTACACAATAAGCTGCTTTAAAAGATTAAGATGTTTTAAGATGAAAAGAACTGAGGCATGTAAACACACGCGACCAATTTTACATGCGATCAATGAACTTGCAATAACGTCATCGGCGGTTTCATATTCAATTCACTTCATTCGATAATTCTACCATTTAGCCAGAGCTTATGACACGAACAATTTCAAAAGCTCCTAAATTAAAGAAATTCTCAGCAGGAACTTAAATTTAGAGACCACACGAAAAGAAAACATTAGCTTAATACACTAAGCTATGCACTTCACTCACAATTGCAGCCATCTCGCACTTTCTTGAATATTTTTTTTCCGACGATCCTCAAGACAAATCTTTTATGATCCACGCTGTAAAAGTGTCGTTGAGAAGTGCACGTTTTGGTCTTGAATTCATAAAAATTGAATACGGGTATCATTAGCAACAATCTACCGTTCTGGACTTTAGTCTTCTCTAAGAAGCTCAGCAGTTGTTTTCATGTCGTTCTCCCTGAGTTTTGCATAATTCGAACAACCTCCACGTCAAAAGTGAGCCGCAGTGACAGGTTGTATCAGCGTTTACTCGTTGGAATTTATGCACAAAAGGATCCTGCGCACACAAGTGCTCTGAGCCTCGTTACAGAGAGAAACTGAATCCGAACAAATGGCGCGAAAGCGAAGGTTCACTTGCACGTGATATGTCCTCAGTTTTAGTCAAGTTTTCGCCTCTCTTTTTGCGGATCTTGCCTTCGAAACTACCAACAAAAAGAATGCTTTGTGACTCACAGTTCACTTCTTTCATTTTCCTTGATCTTGAAACAACAGGACTCAAAAATCCTCGTGGAATTACTGAGCTAAGCATGATAGCTGTCGAACGAGAACATATCATTGAGAGTTCCGCAACCAAAACAGTCCCTCGTTTGCTCGATAAATTTACCACTTCGGTTAGACCTACGAAAGCGATCGAGTTAGATGCTTCTACGATAAGCAGGATATCAGAAGGAGATCTCGAAAGGAAGAAAGAATTTGATATTGAGCTTGGAAGAATTGTCAAATCGTTCATCATTAGACAACCACAACCAGTGTGTTTGGTTGCTCACAATGGCGACAGCTTTGACTTCAAAATTCTTGTTTCTCATCTTCAAGCTGTCGGAACAACTTTACCCGGAACAGTTCACGCCTCTGATTCGGTCAAAGCGTTTCGAAAACAACTCAAAGAAGCTGAAAATGGGAGAAATAATGAAGAGGTTGTGGGAGAAGATGTGAATCGAAAAGGAAAGCGAATTTGTTCCTTAAAACATTTGTACAGCACCTACGTTGGCGGGGAAATCGTTGACGCCCATAGTGCAGAGGCAGATGCGTTTGCTCTGTTAAAACTCGTGGTCCATAAGCCAGAAATACTGATATACTTAGAAGATGAAGCACGTCGACTTTTTCCCCAAGAGGAGGAAATTGCAAGGGATCCCGAAGAACCACAGATGTGTGTGGAAGAAAAGTCTGCAAGCCAAGTTCAAAATACAAATTCTCCACCGTTAAAGAAAGGGCGAACAACGTAATGATTGCTCTTTATCTTAATTTAAAACAGTTGAAGGGTGAAAACCTTAGCTGATATTTGCCCTTATTTTGTGATTATCTTAGATGTGATAGTGATTGAAATTTCAACAATTTAACCCTTTAACTCCCAAGATCTTATTGTCAATTCTCCCCTCTTGCTGCCACACATTTCCTTATTCATTGGTCAGGAGAAATTGGTGTTTGATAAAGATAAAATCTTGAGGTTGAATAATCTCATCGGCTGTTTTCTGGATAATTTATGAATATTATAGGAATAAGTTACACATTAATCACTTCTAGGAGTTAAAGGATTAAGCACCTGCTTGACTATGATGATCCAGTCTGTAGTGTATGGCAGAATTTGACGAGATCTCATGCATGCAAAGGCAATTCTGCCATGTGAAATGTATGGTAAGAAAGGAAAAATTTGACTGCGCATGTGCCATACTCTGTAGACAGAGTGATGATAACCTCCACTCAGGGTTTTTAATTATTCAGTCACTTTCACAGGTGCAATCTCTTTCAAGACTGCTCTTATTGAGACCATCACAGAATGCAGTCTGATAAAAAAGACAAGCAAACCAAAACAAAGCAGTTGTAATTTGCAAATATTTTAAACAGTGGTTATAAGCTATACAGTTGTATTTTATCACAGATATGGGGGTGCACTGATTTTAAATGTATTTTTAAAATGTTCCTTTTATCGTGTTGTTAATATGTATAGGTAATGACATGTTTCTTATTACAATTTGATGTTAATAAGCATGAGTACATTTTTCAAAGACAACAAAATTGCATGAGCCCATAGGGCAAGTGAAATTTATAATCTTTGAAAAATTTAAAAGTGCTTATCATACCAAATTGCCAGAGGAATCATGTTGCTACTTTTTTTATAATGAACATAAAAACATCATAGAAAGTCAGGACCAATATGCACAATTTGTAATTTGCACTGGTGTTGCAAGAGAATGCTCTTGTTTTTCAGCCAGTTAGAAGTGGGTAATTTTTTCCATGTACATTATAATGATGTTAATCAGTGACTAACCATTTTGAGATTTTTTTTTTTTTTTTTTAACATTTTTTTTTTATTTTCACTTAAAGCACAAATACTAGAATAATACAAACAAATACAAAGTTAATTACACTAACGCTTACGCTACTCACTAATTACGAAATACTGCGTTACATTACATTCACAGTCGGCTAGATTTAATTTATGTTGTGGTTATATAATAATATAAACCTAATTTGTACAAATACTTCTACATCAAATTCCTTTTTTGGTAGAACGACTGTATATACAACTGCATCTATAACTGTTAATACCCGATACTCATCTATTGAGTTACATTAACATGTTTTCCCATTTTTTATAATGAATAGATTCTTTTTTATTCTTTTTTGCAATCAAAAATTCAAATTTCCGAGTTTCAGATGTTTTAGCCTTCAGTAAGGATACAAACGGCTTGATATTTTTACAACGACATGAATAAATGGTATATTTTCCAAGAATGATTATGTGATTTAACAAACAATTCCCAGGGATATTATCGGAAATACCAAAGAGGATTGTTACCTCATCAAGCTTATCAATTTTCATATTGTAAGTATTTAACCAAGAAATAACCGAAAGCCAAAAGTTTTTAGTGTAGGTACAGCTGATTAGAAGATGCTCAAGAGTTTCTTCGTGATCTCCACAAAAGGTACACATCGGAGAAGGAACCAAATTCATTTTTTATAGGATTTTATTGGTGTAGAGAATACGATTTAAGATTTTGTATTGAAAGGCTCTCGTTCTGGTGTCAAGAGTGACTCGACCCAGCAATAGATAAATATTTTTCCAGTCTATATTACCTGAAATATTAGATTGGGCAGTCGGAGAAATCTGAATTCATTTGACCAGGGTGGAATAGATTGATTTTGAAGTCATTCTAGTTATATCTTGAACATCGTCTGAAACAGTTTTGTCAATTCGGTTGTTATTATTCTCTCCAACGTTAAGGAGCTGTTTCCAGTTAGGCGGAATGGCAGAAAAAATGCCTTGTAGGAGTAAGTAATCTGACAAGGAGAGATTTTTCTCTCTAAAAGCGTCCCACCTTTTTAATTTTGAGTCATTTGAGAGAATATCTCCAAGTTTCACAAAACCTGCTTCTTTTATTCTCTTGTTGTATATTGATTTCTTGTTAATCAAGAGGTTCTGGTTGTTCCAGATAGTCACATTTAAAACGTCCTGTTTTGTAGCTATTATATCGTGATTGCCATTAAAGTCAGACAAAACTTCAAGACATTCTTTATAAAAGGAAGGTAGTTTACAGGGTAGGCGCGATGGATTGAAATTGCACTGAAGCAGAAAACTGGTTCCTACATTCTTAAGATAATAAGACAAGAAAACTTTCCACGGACTACTATTATCATCTAAATACCTTGCCAGACACACAATTCTTTGAGTTTTAATTAAAGATTCAGGGTGAGGCATTTTGAGGCCACCGTCTTCGTATTCACTAATTAAGGCTAGTCTTTTGACTTTGTCTTTGCCTCTCCACACGAAATTGAATATCACAGAATTTATGCTTTTAATTATATCCTTATCAAAAGAGATAAAGGAGGCCCGATACATAAACTTAGGCATAGCAAATGTTTTGACTAATTGAATTTTACCAATTAATGTTAAGTTTCTCCATTGCCAGCAACTTAAGGACTTTCTTATTGACTTTAAAGTGAGGTCAAAGTTAAGCTCTCTGCTTTTACGCTGATCATAAGTGAAATATATACCTAGTATTTTAATTGGCTCATTCACCTTATTAATATCGAGAGCTTCGTGATTTTGAGATTAGAATAGCTGAGGCTGAGTGTTTGGCCTTTTACAGTTATAATTAGGAGGTCTTGGGCCCAGTTATTCAAGGGTGGACAGTGCTACCCAAAGGATAAATCACCCTCCAGCCAATAACTTTTAACATGATGTTCTTTTCTGTCCATGGGATAGAGACTTTTCCAGTGTATAGCATTATCCTTCCTTGAAACATCTCTCAGAGGCCAAGTGGCTATGTAATTTGCTCTATTATGGATGAAGAGGTCTGGCGCACAGTTGTTGAAATGGCCAGTAACACTACTCAAAGGATAAATCACTCTCTAGCTGATAAGTGTCAATAAAACATACTTTGCTGTCCAGCTGATAAAGATTTATTCAGTGGATTAAATAATCCTCCTTTCAAACAACAGGGGCCTGTTTGTGGCTGTGGTTGTGTTTTTTCTACTGTGGTCTTGGGAAAGATCCTCAGCTAGCACAATACCTTTCTCCACACAAATGGATGATAGGGAACTGTAAAAAAACTTGCTAAAATGGTTCAGATGAGGGTAACCTGTAATGAAATGATATCTCTTCTTTGAGGAGTAGCAATATTACTTGTTTTTCTTTCATATTAAGTGCATACAAAGTACAAAAATAACATCACAGGCATCAAATAGTGGGCACTATAAAATTTCATCTGTCTTGACTTCCTGTGATGCTTTTCATAGTTTCATGTTAAGAACTAAATTAAGTAATTTTGTTTTTTCTTCCTTTTTCAAAGACTGCAAACTGTACTTGGCAGCCCCAATGGACTCATGCAATCTTGTTACATTTCAAAAAAAATTACTTGTGCTTATTTACAGCAAATTGCACTCAAAATCATGTAATTGCCTATGCTTATTTACTAAAATTACTTGCAAAACTAGCATTAATACTTAACACACACACAATATATGCAGAACAAGCTTACTCACATCGGCCCAAATACATAACTTGAGCAAACAAACAGTAATCTAACGCACTTGATTTGCTCACAAAGGAATTGATTACTTATATCATTACATCCAAGACACATTTTTTTAAAAACTTTATTACAATACTGCACCTTGCCACTTTAGAAACCTGGACAAGCTCTGGTGCTGTCAGCCTTTCTGGGC